AGAGAAAGTTGCCTATATATGAGTTAGTTGTATAGCGTTAACAAAACAATTGTAAATAATTACAAAATCATGGTTATTTTGGATAGGAAATTGAAATCAAAATTCAAGTTTAGGAGTTTTTTGGGCATGAAAATGGCTGAACCAGAAAGTCTTTTTTGCCTAACTCAATTAATCGTAAAAATTTCATCCACACCCCCTCTAGTTAGGTCTAAATTGAAAGGCACCTTTTTCTGATTCAAAAACTTCATTGCATCCCCTTTGATTTATACTTTCAAATCAAAAATACCCTCTTAACGGTAATTTTTAACTCTGTCAATACAAAAACTAACGGTTTGACTATAAATTTTTTGAAAATGTCAAAACTACAATTCCTTATGTAAATATATTAAAATGTTATCAACTATTTTTCCACTATATATACTACATTTTTTGTTGTTTATGAAGGTCCAAAACGATATAGGGTTGCTAGAAGACATAGGAGACTAAAACTAATTATTAATCTTCAACTCGTTCTCAAAAATGATCAATCATTACCAAAGTTGGTAAAAAAAAGAAATTATTTTTTTCTTGTAGATTTGTAAATGTTTTCATGAAGATTTTTTTAAAATTTTTTTCATGCAGATTTTTTTTTAATTTTTTTTTCATGCAAATAGTTTTAATTTTTTTCATCCAAAACACCTGTTAGATTTTTTAGTTATTAAGTTCATATTCTTATAAGTTGTTAGGTAAGACGTACACTTTTCAATTTCTTATTTTTTTATATTACCTAAGTTGCTTCTGTAGTATGTTTTTTGTTGTTCGTTATAAATTACAGGTTTTTAAATTTATTTTATAGTTAAAAATAATTTTTCTATAATAAAATTACAATCGATAAAATTAGTGTCAAAACTCCATCCATTTCTAACTTCTCTATTATCGTCTGTCTTCCACAACGTCACCTGACAACTCTCCATGCATCACCCTTCATATATAAAATTTAATATTAATTAAATAAATTTGGTTTTAATATGATAAATTTAAATAATAATTTAGTTTTAATTTGATAAAATTAAATATTAATTCATGATTTAATAAAATTAAATATTAATTCAGTGTTGATTTGATAAAATTTAAATGTTACTTTAATGAAATTAAATGTTCATTTGGTGTTTAATTAAATAACTAACATTAATTTGATAAGGTTAAATGTTAAATTAATAAAATTTAATATTCTATTTAATATATTAATTTTTAATTTAAAAAAATTAAATGTCATGATTTGATGAAATTAAATAATAATTTAATGTTAAATTAAAGAAATAATATTAATTTGATGAAATAAAATATTAAATTAATATAACTAAATGCTAATTTGATAAAATTAAATATTAATTTGTGTTGATTTGATGATATAGAATGTTAATTTAGTTTAAATTAAATAAATCACATTAATTTGATAAAATTAAATATTAAATATTAAATTGATAAATGTAAAAGTTAATACAATAGAACTAAAAGAGAGTGCATTAAAATTTAAAATTAGGAGGGGTATTGTTAAAGATAAGTTTATTTACATGGAGTGTCGTTGAAGTTATGTTTATTTACAAGGGGTGTGAATAAAATTTATCCTATAAAATATTCAGGGGTATTTTTATAAATTAATAATCGTCGTTAAAGCAATAATTCGACAAACACTTATAGGGGGATAACAGTAAAGTTTCAAAATAAAGAGGGGATAACATTGAATTTAGATCTAATTATAAAGAGCGTGGATGAAATTTTCCCTAATTACTTTATCGTGTGCTCATCCCTTCTGCCATATCATATCTAACCAGCTTTGTCCTACTCTTGGTTCTCATTTCCTTAGCAACACAACCATCTGTCTTTAATAAGTGCACAGCTGTTTTTCTTTTTGTGTAATAAATGAAAAATCTACTGTTATTAATTATCAATAAAAAGAAAATCTACATGATAATCCTTAAATGCTTGCAGCCAGCTATAAACTCTGATTTTTAATTGGCATGAAGTTATAAGTAGGAGTTTCATTGGTTGTATCTAGTATCTAATTCATGTCATATTAAAATTTGTTCAACACATATCTGATTCATTTATATTCATGAGTCGGATTTATGTAGTGTAGTGTATAAGTTGTGTTCATGTCGTGTTTATTAAGTATTGTGTCAACCCATTTATTTGAGAAATTTAATGAACTTACTCGTTTACCACCCGAACTCACTAAAACGAAACTTAAACTTGTCTATTTGTATCAAATTGTCTATTTGTATCAAATTGGTGAGTCGTGCTAAACAAATTTAGGCCTACTTATAAGACACAAGCGAGAGTGGTAATCAATTCTTCCAATTATAACCTTAGTTTAGCACAAACCCTAATACAAAGGGTCACAATTTACAAGCAGTGTGTGTACCAAGTCCAACAAATCCTAGTTCAATCACAAATTAAAAATTAAACTATTCGGTATTCTCTCTTAACACATGTATATTCTATTTTGAACAATATTGCCATGACTTTTAGATTGACTGTAAGTTCCATTAAACATTAAAACTTAGTATCGATCCAACAACTATAATTGTCAAATTTTTAAGTCTAAATAGCATTTCTCTTTTATTTATTTTTTCTCACAAAAACAAACAATGAATACAATTACTTCCATTTTGTGGAGTATTATGTGAAGATATTGTCATTTGTCATGTGTCGTGCCTACAAATTAGTGGCATGCATATTGAAAATGTAAAAATAATAATGTTCAAGTGCATCTTCATTTTTTATATCGTCATTTAACTTTTTTTTAAATACCATAAAATTTTAATTTTCTAGATTATCCTTCAACTTTTGAATGTTCATACATTTTAAAAACTTTTGATTTAATAATATTATGGCATCACTTTTAATATGCAATGCTTTTCATATCATCAATAAAAAAGTTTTTAGCTACTAAATACATACAATACGGTATTAAACAAGTATTACAGCTTCCTACGAACACCCCATTAAGCCTTGGAAATAGGTTGGCCCAACCCGACATTTTTTCAACCCATGGGCCAGCCCTTTGGGCTTTGACTAGTCAACGGGCTGAGCCCACTCATTATGAATTTTTAAGGCCCATGGCCTGTCCCGTGGGCCTGTCTATTGGGCCAAATACGGGTCGGGCTTCACAATCTGCATCATTGGGCCTGAAACTGACTTTTTATTAAAAAATTATTTTTTTATGTAAAAAAATACAAAAAAGACATCAATTACATGAAGTTGGTATGAAAAAATAAATTAATAAAAAAATTATTCATATTGATTGAATTTAACAAATATTCATATAGAGTTACAATGTTATATACAAATTGAGTACATCCTATTTAGATTGGCACCTACACAACTGTCAATAATTTGTAAATCTCAACTTATAAAAGTTACAGATCAAATATCAAATAAATAATACAATTATAAAATATAATATAATTATTTTATGAGGCTAATGGGCGGGCTAACAAACTTCTTAACATGTTGGCCCACTGCCCCCCCCCCCCCCCCCTAAAAAATATGGTCAGGCCCTACCCGCCAGGCTGGAGGGCTACCCAAGTCCAGTCACATGTACGAGTCAAGTTGCCCGTCAAGCTTTTAAGTCATACACGGTCTATTGAGCTTTGGGCTGTTTGGTGAGACCTACACCCCATATTGGGGGGGGGGGGGGGGGGGGGAGTTAGCTGTGTAAATGGGCTTATAATATATCAACAGCCTAAATTGGAGTTGGAGGGGCATGGTTGCTTTTTTGTGACCATGTGGACATGGTGGACAAAGAATCCTTAGCTGTTGTGGATTAAAACTACAAATTTTATACACCACACAAACCCGACTCTAACATGTGTAGTTATATCAAACTGAGTATTACCGTTTCATATTCTCACGACAAACCCAACGTCGTAATGGGGCCAAATTTGTGCAAATGGGTTTAAAAAACATTAGCCTAAAGTTTGGAGGGGGAACAGATTGCCTTTATGCGACCATGTGGACAAGGTAGCTAGACAAAGAATTCTTAGCTGCAATTCATAAAAAGTACATTTGGTAAATGTCAAACTTCATGTAATTAAATCTCTAGTCAAAGGAAATCACCTTGTTTAATTTTGAGAGAGAGAGCGCATTAGCAAAAGAGCAATACTACTTAAATCTAATTTACCTAATCATTCATAATTATTGAATTGATAGTGAGCCATAATATATATGCTTAATTTGGACCAACAAAAGGCCTAGTAAAACAAAGAAATGGGATAGTCTTCCATTGAAAATGTACATTTCAACTAAAGAGCAACCCATGAAGAGTCATTTTTTTTGTCCCCGATTTGGTTAAAGACAGATCATCCATGTCATAATTAAGGTATTCATGAGGGATAAATTTCACACATTCTATAAATAGCATCAACAGCAGCAAAATTTGTTATTCCTCAATTCACACTACACCCTTAAACTCCACTAAAAAAAGAACTACATTTGACCTAAAGATTTTGCAGAGATGAGCACCAAGTTTCCTTCTTCAACCACGGCCGGCTCAACATCATTAAAAAAAAAAAAAAACATGGGCTTTAGGCCCCAAATTTTTATGTACATTACTAACCCATAAAAAAATTAAATCATTTAAATTTTAAACCCTAAAAAAAGAGCCCCAAAATATTAAGTACAATCAACATTTTTATTGTAATAATTTGGGTCCATGATTCAATTCATAACATTAGAAATCTAAAAATCATAAGTTGAAAAAATAAAAAGAACTAAAAAATCAATTCATATTTATCCATACTCTCTCTCTTTATGTGTAAAAACTAGTACAAAACGTTAAAAAAAAGGTAAAATTAAATTCTCTTTCTGATAAAAAAACAAAAATAAAAGTTAAAATATTTTTTTTGGTAACCCTAGTACATCATTCTTCGGTTTCTCATATAATAAATTGAAAATAAATTATTTTTAAAAAAAAATTAATATTAAAAATAAAAAAGACCTAATTTAGTGTTTTCGCTTTAGGCCTCCAATTGCCTTAAGCCTCCCCAGTCCTCAACTACTCTCTTACCTTTTCTCAACATTCTCTTCTTTGTCATTGTAAGTGGACAAGCTCCAATCACCGCCGACCCTCCTTCAGCACTGGTCCTTGATTCCATGAACAACAATTCTTCTCGATCGATGTCTAGTTCCATTTCACCGGCTTCCATGGACAGTAATTCTTCTTCATTAATGCCTATTTTTGGTTCACCACCTCCATTAATGACTCCAAACTGTGCATGGTCCATAAACACTAAAAAGATATTCATCTCTCATCTTCCACTTTATGGGATACCCGCGCCACCTGCAATACTAGCTTGTTGCCTCCATTTGCGCTTCCTTAGTAAAGCTAAAGCTCGTTCCTGCATCTGTAAGGCCATTAAAGATAAGGTCTTAAGGCCTGTCATCCAAAAGCAAGTGTACCTGGTATTACTTACATGTCACTTGTAGTGCTAGCTACTGATAACCTTCTTTGTGCTTGAGCACTAGCTTTCTTTTATGATTTGCCTTCCATTGAAAATGTACATTACAACTAAAGAGCAACCCATGAAGAGTCATTTTTTTTGTCCCCGATTTGGTTAAAAACAAATCATCCATGTCATAATTAAGGTATTCATGAGGAATAAATTTCACACATTTTATAAATAGTAGGAACAGCAACAAAATTTTTTATTCCTCAATTCACACTACACCCTTAAACTCCACTAAAAAAAGAATTACATTTGACCTAAAGATTTTGCAGAGACGAGCACCAAGTTCCCTTCCTCAACTACTCTCTTACCCTTTCTCAACATTCTCTTCTTTGTCATTGTAAGTGGACAAGCTCCAATGGCCGCCAACCCTCCTTCAGCACCAGTCCTTGATTCCATGGACAACAATTCTTCTCAAACGATGTCTGGTTCCATTTCACTGGCTTCCATGGACAGTAATTCTTCTACATTGATGCCTATTTTTGGTTCACCACCTCCATTAATGACTCCAAATTGTGCATGCTCCATAAACACTAAAAGGCTATTCATTTGTCATCTTCCACTTTATGGGATACCCGCGCCGCCTGCAATACTAGCTTGTTGCCTCCAATTACGCTTCCTTGGTAAAGCTAAAGCTCGTTCTTGCATTTGTAAGGCCATTAAAGATAAGGTCTTAAGGCTTGTCACCCAAAAGCAAGTGTCCCTAGTATTACTTACATGTCACTTGTAGGGCTAGCTACTGATAACCTTCATTGTGCTTGAGCACTAGCTTTCTTTTGTGATTTGAAGGTTTCAATGTTCAGTTACCCTTTTAAATATCTTTGGTATCCATGTTCACCTTTACCAATATGGTTTCTAATAAGAAGAGTGTAATGACATAGTTATAATACAGTTATGTTTCTAGTTGAATTTCCAGTTATGATATAGTTTTTGTTATGAATAAATTCTCCAATGTCATATTCATAATTTGGTGTGATATATAAAAACATATAGATTTATATTAAAATTAAAGATCAAAAAAAAAAAATTCACAGAGAGACGCCCCAAAATTCACTATTGAATGAGTGAATTATACATAGAGAACTATAGAGGAAGTTGCTGTTTTTTGTACAGCGTTAACAAAACAATTGCAAATAATTACAAAATCATGGTTATTTTGGATAGGCAATTGAAATCAAAATTCAAGTTTAGGAGTTTATTGGGCATGAAAATGGCTGAACCAAAAGCTTTGAAAGTCCTTTTGGTCTAACTTAATTACTCGATTGTGTGCTCATCTCTTCCGCCATATCAAATCTAACCAGCTTTGTCCTACTCTTGGTTCTCATCTCCTTAGCAACACAACCATCTGTCTTTAATAAGTGCACAGCTGTTTTTGTTTTTGTGTAATAAATGAAAAATCTACTGCTATTAATTATCAATAAAAAGAAAATCTGCTTGATAATCCTTAAATGCATGCAGCCAGCTATAACTCCGATTTTTAATGGGCAAGAAGTTATAAGTAGGAGTTTCCATTGATTGTGTCTTGTATCTAATTCGTGTCATATTAAAATTTGTTTAACTCATACCTAATTCATTTATATTCGTGAGTTAGGTTTATGTTGTGTAATCTATGAGTTTTGTTCAAGTCATGTTTATTTTGTATAAAGTCAATCCATTTATTTGAGAAACTTAATGGACCTACCCAGTTTACCACCCAAACTCACCAAAACTAAACTTTTTTTTTTTTTTATTTTGGGAGGTGGAAGGGGACTTAAACCCTTGACCTCAAGAAGGTAAAACTTTCATAAGGTAAGGAGTATCATTAGACCAAAGACATATTGGTACTAAAACTAAACTTAAAATTGTCTATTTCGTATCAAATTTAAGAGTCGTGCTAAAAAAATTTAGGCCTACTTATAAGACACAAGCGAGAATGGGAATCAATTCTTGTACTGACAACCTTAATTTAGCACAAACCCTAATACAAAGGGTCACTATTTACAACCTGTGTGTACCAAGTCTAACAAATCATAATTCAATCACAAGTTAAAAATTAGGCTATTCGGTTTTCTCTCTTAACACATGTACCATTCTAATCCATTCTATTTTGAGCAATGCTATCATGATCTTCGAATTGACTATGGGTTTTATTAAACATTGAAATTTGGTATTAATTCAATAACTATAATGGTCAGATTTTTAAGTAATAAATTTTTGATTTTCTAGATTATCCTTTAACTTTTTTTGAATGTTCTTACATTTTAAAAACTTTTGATTTAATAATATTATAGCATCACTTTTAATATGCAATGTTTTACATATCATCAATAAAAATGTTTTTAGATAGTAAATACATATCATACTGCATCAAACAAGTATTACAGTTTCCCACGCACACAATATGAAGAAAGAGTTGGAGGAAAATGGTTGCTTTTTTGTGACCATGTGGACATGGTGGACATAGAATCCTTAGCTATTGTGGATTAAAACAACAAATTTTATACACCACACAAATCCAACTCTAACATTTATAGTTATATCAAATTGAGTATTACCGTTTCATTTTCTCGTGACAAACCCAACATCATAATGGGGCCAAATTTGTGGAAATGGGTTTAAATATCATTAGCCTAAGTTTGGAGGGGGTATGGGTTGCCTTTTTGCGACCATGTGGACAAGGTAGCCAGACAAAGAATTCTTAGCTGCCATGCATAAAAAGAACATTTGATAAATGTCAAACTTCATGTGACCTTGTCTAAAGCACCACCCATTTGTCGACAAAACATAATTTCACATCTTATGGTGAAACAAAAGCTTTGAATGAACAGATCAAACCTAAACAAAAACTATTACATTAATTGGAATTCTATTAACTACAACCACGGGGAATTCAAAAAGGAAAAAAATAAAATAAAATTACTATAGACTCAAGTGATAATAACGACGAATTATAAACTTAAAAATTTGAATCTTAGTGGTAAGGGCGAAATTTAGCACGGGCCTTCATGATCCAGCAGCCCAATGGGTCCAGGAGTCCTTCAATTACATAGCTACCCAAAGGGGAGGCCTACCATTTGTCTGCCTCATTAGCCTAAAAGGCCAAGCCCGATGGAGAAAACCCAACATCAGCAAGGAATTTACAATCCAACATGACTCAAGTCCAGCCCATCAGGTGAGCACCCAAAGGATGGAAGTTTGGTCCGAATAACCTCCCCGAATCATTCTCGTCGCAACACGTATCCTAGGGACTCAGGGACCACCTCTGACACCTATGACAGCCACAGAGCAGAGAAAGGATGGAGCACATAGCCACCAGAGATCGTGGTAATAGTAGTGTCAAATGAACAGTGACACCAGATGTCAGGAAAAAGCTACAAGGTGCAGAAGAGAGGACCTAAGAGATCAGCACCAAAGAAAGAAGAGCAGCAAAAAACCCTAGGGGAATCACTGTATAAATAAAGAACTGTTACCTGATGGACGGGGATGATCTTCTAAACCCTCTCCTTCCTATCTAGGCACTTAAGTCGAAACCCTAACAGATAGAGAAAAATACTTACCCCCTATAATGAACCTAGCGTTTGTATCCCTATAATTCTCTCAAAGGATTAAGCAACAACCTCGAGAAGCAGGAGACTCCCTTCACAGTGGACGTAGTCTTAATCTTTTGACTAAGGTGAACCACTTATGTTTCTTTCCTTGATATTCATCGTTAGCCGATCACTTACCTAACAGAACTATTAACTATCTCATCATATTATCTACTAGGCTTGGGCTGAAAAATTTCTGAGCACCATCACTTAGCAACTTTTTTAGGTTAGATAATAAGAAATTTATCTCTCATGAATACTCTAGTTCCGACGTGAATGACCTGTTTTTGACCAGATCGATGAAAGAATTAATCATAGTGTATGTAAGGTAGTTCGAACCCCCTAATCGTTGAACAAAAAACAAAATAATTCACATTTTCTAACTAATTATATCCCCTCCAACTTCCGTTTAAGTTATTTGAATTTAAATATTTTAAGGTATAAATTAGGAATTTAATGATATTTTGAGGTGCATTCACTCTAAAAATGATAATGAAATTTATATTTTTTTTAATTCTTTTAATATTTGTACCAATCTTCAGTCAAATGAAACTTTGAAATGCTAGGGATGCATCCGTCATTGTGAGGTTTAGTCAGGGAGAGATCTGTCAGACAGCATTCTCTCCGTCACTATTCTCATTCTGAAAGCTGTATAAAACTACTTTCACCATTGTCATCTCTTTCTCTCTCTCTTCTCTCTCTGATTTTCCCAGACATCCGTGCAACTCGAGAAACCTGATAAAAAACACCATATATTAGCTACCCAGTTCGCAAAAACCCCACATTTTTATTCTGAAAATTTCCTAAAACTTCCATCTTTATGCTATTTATTCCATTTCCCGAGCTTTTATTTCCATCAAAATTCTTGAAAAAAACGCGGGCATTGCAATTTCCACCTTCTCTGTGTAATTCTTGAGTTGATTGTAATTGGTATTGTTCAGTACTCATGTTAGTTTCATTTGCTTGTGTATAATCGGGAAAGAGAGCAATTTCTTGGAGTCAATTGAGTATAAATGAAAAGTTGGGGGTTTTGTTGTAAAATAGTAATTCTTATTGGGGGATAGAAATCTGGGGTCGTGATGGAGAGCTGTGAAGGAGTGGATGATCCAACCTCTGGATGGTTGCAAGTGAAAAAGGTGTCATTTTTTTAACATGCCCACTTGCGGAATTGTCCTGAATTTGTGTTTATTTGTCTTATCATGAAAAGAAAAAAAAATGGTGTTTGTTGATTCTTTCTATTGAAAATTGTCATTTTTAAATATTTCTTGTGGAATTTAACTAAGAAATCGCACCTGATTAGTTTACTACTATTGTGGTATTGACTCCATTTACATTGGAAAATTAAAGAATTTGATGTGCTGGTTTTCCAACTTAGGAAAGATCTTCCTTTTGATTTTTAGATGCCCGAAAAATCATCAGTATCAGTAAAGATAAAGAAAAATGTCTTTCTTAATTCCGTTTTAGTTGTATTCCTTTATGCACCACTTTAGATTTTGTGGAAGGTGGTGATTGTTTGCTTGTATATGTTGAGTTTTTATTGTTTATCTATCTGAAATTGTTTGCTTCAATATCTGGAGAGGAACTGCAGATAGGAAAGGATTATAGGAAAAGTGAAATTTTGATAGGTTTTTGGGACACAGATGATTGTTCCCATTTCCCAACATAGAGGTTGTTTTTTCATAGACAATAATAACTCCATTAAGTTGGACTCGAGTTTGAGGAATTTGGGTATATGTCAAATGAGGTAATTTTTTCACAATCTCACTGAGAGAAACTTGTGTAAAATTTTGTGTTGGTAATCACTTAAAATAATCAAAATGTACGTATTGTTCATGGTATTTGAAGAAATTCTGTTTTTCTGAGAATAGCTACACAGTAAGTAATTTTTTTTTTTGGGGTGGGGGGGAGTTAATTGCTACAAAGCAGGTAATTACTTCAACCCAGTGGTAGAAGTTAGAAGAGGGGCATTTGTATATGTCCTTTGGTGACCGTAGTAACATGATAGAATTGGGTTAGGGTGACCGAGTAACATGACCAGTTTGAAATAGTCAGTTTCTTTAGTTTGCAGAGCTAATGATATATGCCGATGTAGTTGGTATTATGTTTTCCCACAATTATTCCAGGAACAGGTTGCATGCCTATGCACGTTTACTACTTGGCACAGTACAATTTTGGATGCTGTGAAAGTTACTTTTGAGTATCTTGCAAATCTGTCAAGTACAACTTTGTCATCAACAGTCTGCTTGAACAAATTTGAACCAACTAATAGGAACATGGGCTGGATGCACTTGCACGTATTTTGAACACAACAGGGTCAAATGGACACATAACATTAGTTAAAATAAACAATGAGAAAAAATACAGGAAAATGAGAATTCTTTTATCTTTTATGCGGCATTGTTTTCTTATTGTCTAGGATGTAGATCACATTAGAGATAATGGGATGCATAATATATCGGGNATGGGCTGGATGCACTTGCACGTATTTTGAACACAACAGGGTCAAATGGACACATACCATTAGTTAAAATAAACAATGAGAAAAAATACAGGAAAATGAGAATTCTTTTATCTTTTATGCTGCATTGTTTTCTTATTGTCTAGGATGTAGATCACATAAGAGATAATGGGATGCATAATATATCGAGNGCACCATCACTTAGCAACTTTTTTAGGTTAGATAATAAGAAATTTATCTCTCATGAGTACTCTAGTTCCGGCGTGAATGACCTGTTTTTGACCAGATCGATGAAAGAATTAATCATAGTGTATGTAAGGTAGTTCGAACCCCCTGATCGTTGAACAAAAAACAAAATAATTCACGTTTTCTAACTAATTATATCCCCTCCAACTTCCGTTTAAGTTATTTGAATTTAAATATTTTAAGGTATAAATTAGGAATTTAATGATATTTTGAGGTGCATTCACTCTAAAAATGATAATGAAATTTATATTTTTTTTAATTCTTTTAATATTTGTACCAATCTTCAGTCAAATGAAACTTTGAAATGCAAGGGATGCATCCGTCATTGTGAGGTTTAGTCAGGGAGAGATCTGTCAGACAGCATTCTCTCCGTCACTATTCTCATTCTGAAAGCTGTATAAAACTACTTTCACCATTGTCATCTCTTTCTCTCTCTCTTCTCTCTCTGATTTTCCCAGACATCCGTGCAACTCGAGAAACCTGATAAAAAACACCATATATTAGCTACCCAGTTCGCAAAAACCCCACATTTTTATTCTGAAAATTTCCTAAAACTTCCATCTTTATGCTATTTATTCCATTTCCCGAGCTTTTATTTCCATCAAAATTCTTGAAAAAAACGCGGGCATTGCAATTTCCACCTTCTCTGTGTAATTCTTGAGTTGATTGTAATTGGTATTGTTCAGTACTCATGTTAGTTTCATTTGCTTGTGTATAATCGGGAAAGAGAGCAATTTCTTGGAGTCAATTGAGTATAAATGAAAAGTTGGGGGTTTTGTTGTAAAATAGTAATTCTTATTGGGGGATAGAAATCTGGGGTCGTGATGGAGAGCTGTGAAGGAGTGGATGATCCAACCTCTGGATGGTTGCAAGTGAAAAAGGTGTCATTTTTTTAACATGCCCACTTGCGGAATTGTCCTGAATTTGTGTTTATTTGTCTCATCATGAAAAGAAAAAAAAATGGTGTTTGTTGATTCTTTCTATTGAAAATTGTCATTTTTAAATATTTCTTGTGGAATTTAACTAAGAAATCGCACCTGAATAGTTTACTACTATTGTGGTATTGACTCCATTTACATTGGAAAATTAAAGAATTTGATGTGCTGGTTTTCCAACTTAGGAAAGATCTTCCTTTTGATTTTTAGATGCCCGAAAAATCATCAGTATCAGTAAAGATAAAGAAAAATGTCTTTCTTAATTCCGTTTTAGTTGTATTCCTTTATGCACCACTTTAGATTTTGTGGAAGGTGGTGATTGTTTGCTTGTATATGTTGAGTTTTTATTGTTTATCTATCTGAAATTGTTTGCTTCAATATCTGGAGAGGAACTGCAGATAGGAAAGGATTATAGGAAAAGTGAAATTTTGATAGGTTTTTGGGACACAGATGATTGTTCCCATTTCCCAACATAGAGGTTGTTTTTTCATAGACAATAATAACTCCATTAAGTTGGACTCGAGTTTGAGGAATTTGGGTATATGTCAAATGAGGTAATTTTTTCACAATCTCACTGAGAGAAACTTGTGTAAAATTTTGTGTTGGTAATCACTTAAAATAATCAAAATGTACGTATTGTTCATGGTATTTGAAGAAATTCTGTTTTTCTCAGAATAGCTACACAGTAAGTAATTTTTTTTTTTTGGGGTGGGGGGGAGTTAATTGCTACAAAGCAGGTAATTACTTCAACCCAGTGGTAGAAGTTAGAAGAGGGGCATTTGTATATGTCCTTTGGTGACCGTAGTAACATGATAGAATTGGGTTAGGGTGACCGAGTAACATGACCAGTTTGAAATAGTCAGTTTCTTTAGTTTGCAGAGCTAATGATATATGCCGATGTAGTTGGTATTATGTTTTCCCACAATTATTCCAGGAACAGGTTGCATGCCTATGCACGTTTACTACTTGGCACAGTACAATTTTGGATGCTGTGAAAGTTACTTTTGAGTATCTTGCAAATCTGTCAAGTACAACTTTGTCATCAACAGTCTGCTTGAACAAATTTGAACCAACTAATAGGAACATGGGCTGGATGCACTTGCACGTATTTTGAACACAACAGGGTCAAATGGACACATACCATTAGTTAAAATAAACAATGAGAAAAAATACAGGAAAATGAGAATTCTTTTATCTTTTATGCTGCATTGTTTTCTTATTGTCTAGGATGTAGATCACATAAGAGATAATGGGATGCATAATATATCGAGTGCATCGTACAAGAAGACTACAATTATTTGATTTTTCAAGTAACTGTTAATGTTGAGAATGATAAAATCTGAACATCATATGGTTCAGGCACCAGTAATTGCTTCAGTCTCCTTGTACATCAAACAATGTGCCTTTTTTGTGTCTACATTGGTTAAAACATTCTGTAGGCTGGCATACTAATTTTCCACATTCCTTGAGAAGAGAAACTATGTCACTCTTGAGTTTTTTTTTTTTTTGATAAGGCACTCTTGAGTTTATTAGATGCCTTCTTTATTTTTTAGTGTCACTTACTCTGCTCTCGNCATCAAACAATGTGCCTTTTTTGTGTCTACATTGGTTAAAACATTCTGTAGGCTGGGATACTAATTTTCCACATTCCTTGAGAAGAGAAACTATGTCACTCTTGAGTTTTTTTTTTTTTTTTTGATAAGGCACTCTTGAGTTTATTAGATGCCTTCTTTATTTTTTAGTGTCACTTACTCTGCTCTCGTTTCCCCCCCTTTTTTTTTTTTTATTTTCTGATGCCATATAAATCTTTATCTATATACACTTTTTCTTGTTGCAGATTTCCGTATTGATTTTTTCTTTTTTGATTGCATGTGATTTTCATTTATGTTAAAGTACCCTTCTCAAAATCAGTTGGCAGTGAGGGAAGAAACTCACAAGTAACATTTGAGAGGGGGTATTTAGTCGATGTGGGACAAGTTCTAGCAAACTCCATGTGTAATATTTCAATACTTCTCTTGTTATTAAGTTCTCTTTTATTTGAAATTTATGAATGAGGTTTTTATTTTTAGATGAAGAAGAATATTATTAAGATTAAGTAAGAGGGAAATTAAATACAGATGGAGGACATGATAGCCTCAAAAGAAAGAAAGAACAAAATCCCCTTGAATATATAAAATAAACTACAAAAAAAGCAATGAAAAGATGAAATAGAACCGCCCTCCAATATTCGATAGCGGCGCCCTACTGAAATTTCCATGGATATGGTCCATAAAGAAGCAAGGAACATAATTCTATCTCATGCTAAGTCTAGTGGATGAGAACGGTCTGGGAAATTCTTGCATTTCTTTCTAGTCAAATACACCTGAGAACCACCATCAACGCACAATTTCAAAGAACTGTAGTTTTTTACTCTTTCCAAAACTCTAGCACTTAACTCTCCAGTGTACGAGGACAAACCCAAGCTTATCCAAACACATTAAACAATTTATTCCACAAACCCAAAGCAAAAGAACAGGGAATGAGTAAGTGCGCATTTGACCCTCCATTCCCTTACAAACAAAAGAACTGATGGATTATATTAGGTTTTTGGTTCTGATGCTTTCTTGTTAATGACCTGGGACAGGACCTTGCACTTGAGCATGATAACATCTATGAATTTATCTTATTACTAGTGGTATGCTTTGAGTCTTATATTTCCTTTCTTTTCCAGAAGCATAGAAATAGTTCAAAATTTTCCTTTCATGGTTGGGTTGGAGGATTCTCTGGAAAACAGAGTCCTAATATTCAGCACTGTCAGCCTTCGTTGAATGTTAGAAGTGGAAATTCACATGTTAAGTGTGGTAGACAGCCTCCAAAAGCAAGTGGAGATTTTGTTGTACAGAGCCTGGGTAGAGTTTCGAATTCTAGTTCTGTTTCAACTGAAGATCGGATGGACGTGCAGTACCTTGATAAATGTGTAGTCAGTCAAGATGATGAATGCCCCAGTTCACCTCTTTCAGTAGCTGTAAATGTTAAAGATGCTGATTCTAGAACAGGAGATCATGAAGAATATCCACAGATAAAAAATCCTGATGTTCTGTCGAAAATCAAGTTGGGTGATTTGGATGGTGGAGCCCTGGTATTGCATGGTGGAAGCACTGTTGGAGCGAAAATCAAGTTTGGTGGATTTGAAGTTGATAATTTGTTCTGTGGGAAGGCTGATAATTCTGGTACTTCAATTTCGTGCATGTCTTCTTGTATAGAGCCCCAAGAGTTGCAGGCAACATCTGCAGAGGCAGATCTTGTTCCTCAGCGGGCACATAATGAATCTTTCGAAGAGAACTGTAAAGAGGTCACTGCAGTATCTTCAGAAGATGTTGAAGTACAAATTACAAATGAGAATATAGTTGATCCAAGTGGTAATACTTCAAGTTGCGGGAAAACCCATCCTGAACCTCTTGAAGCAGTCAATGATGACGCCTGGGGTGCCAGTAGTCAGTCTGGTGAAAATATTATATACACTGCCATTGAAGAGGCTGGGATGGTGGAACTTCCAGCACCTGCTGTTATATCCAAAGCAGGTGATGTAGTAATTTCTGAATTACCATCTATGAATGGGGGGTCAAGCACAGGAGTGATTTCCCAAGATTCTGAGGTACTACCGCCTGAAAAGAGTAGGACCGAAACTTTAGGAGAATCTACTATGACATCCTCTGTTGAATACTGTGAGGATCAAAAGACTCATACAATCATTGATACTATTTCAAAAGCCCAAATTATGAGTGCTATAGGTGCAGATGACATGGGTGAAAGTAAAGAAAGATTCAGGCAGCGGCTATGGTGCTTTCTCTTTGAGAATCTTAATAGGGCCATAGATGAACTTTATCTTCTTTGTGAACTAGAATGTGATCTGGAGCAGACAAAAGAGGCCATTCTTGTTCTTGAAGAAGCTGCATCAGATTTTAAGGAATTAAACTCTAGGGTAGAGGAATTCGAGAAAGTGAAAAGATCCTCTTCTCAATTAATTGATGGGCCACCAACGACCCTGAAGTCTGAACACCGCAGGCCACATGCACTCTCATGGGAGGTCAGCTTGCTTGCTTCTTTCATTAAACCAATATAATGAGATGCCCACTTCTGAGAATTACATAAAATTGTTCCATACTATTAAATACAGTACTTAAGCATATGTACATGCAAACAAGTCAATCCTATATTGGCGGTGGTCAAACTTTATATCTTTACATGTTTTCTGGCAACATGTATCGCTTGATTCTTTCGTCTCTTGGTTTTTCTCATGCTTCNCTATTAAATACAGTACTTAAGCATATGTACATGCAAACAAGTCAATCCTATATTGGTGGTGGTCAAACTTTATATCTTTACATGTTTTCTGGCAACATGTATCGCTTGATTCTTTCGTCTCTTGGTTTTTCTCATGCTTCTCTGCTAATTAGACTTCAAAGAAGATGAAATTGTCTATACACTTAAATTTGAAATTTGATCCTCTTCAATTTTTTAGGAGTGTTATTGTTTTACATCAAAATCACTGATAGAACGTGCCCTTTTCTTTTTCATCATCATCTTCATCTTCTTCTGCTACTTGGAGATGAAAAATAGAACTTTTACTGAGATAAGAGTTTTACTAATGGCGTACTTTTAAAATTCATGGGTGAGTAAATTCAACACTGCATAGTGTTTTTTGTTTATTTTTCCTTAGTGTCTTATTTGATATATGGGTCAGACTGTGTAGGTCAAGATTTGGTTATTTGACGATTTGTCTTGTTGATTCTTAAAGTGATTCATTCTTTGTTCCTTCTGTGCTTATCATGGAGCGATGTAGTTTAGCAGGATCTATTTTTTTTTTTTTTTTATCTAGCTTCCGAATATGAGAAACTATTTACTGCCTGTGCATTACTATTTTAAAAGACATGTCATGTCTGTGGATGTGAATACCAGTTTGGGCCTTTGTAGCTTCTAACTTGAAATCAGGGGACTGTTAAAATGTAAACTAAGATTTTTTGAGGATCTAATCTTTACGAGTTTCTAATTTTGACCGATGTTATTTGCCTAAATTAGTCAATAATTGGTTCAGGATGACAGATTTTTTTTCCATAACTAGTAAGTCAATGGAATAAACTCTTTTAAATTTTTTTCAATGACCAAAACACTAAATAATATTTTTTTTTTATTTTTGGAATATGTTAATGTAAAATAAATACTAGTGACCTTATGCTGGAATGCAGGTTCGGCGAATGACAACTTCACCTCACAGGGCGGAGATATTGTCTTCATCTCTTGAGGCTTTTAGGAAAATTCAACAAGAGCGAGCTAGTGTACATGCAGTTAAAGATACTGTAAAACCAGAGTCTGCTTGCCCTAATGGACTTTGCAGAGTAACTGAAATTTTTTCACAAGATAGCAATAAAAGTGATAAATTACACAATGCAAAAGAATCAAAGCCAAGGAAATATGGTGGGATCTCATATCTCACTCAAGGAAACTTGGGTAGGGAGAAGAGAAATGTTGACTCTGGCAGGTCAAGCAAAGTAAACTTGGTGCAAAATACTCGTCTCCTACAGCAGGGCCAATCTGCTTCTGACTCCATTGCATCTGGGCTAGCTCTTAAAGATCATTCAGCTGCTTCCATTGTGGTAAAGAGCAAGATGGAGCTGCTTGGATCTACTTCTGACATGGAGAAGCTGCTTCCTAGGAAAGATAAACCGTTGACTGAAAGTGTAGTTGAGAAAAATCATTCTTCTGTGCGTCACCATAGAAAGCAGATTCCTTCTTGTGAAAGGGATAAGGAAAAACGAAATGGAACCTCATGGAAATCTATGGATGCTTGGAAGGAGAAGAGGAACTGGGAGGACATACTTGCATCTCCATTCCGTGTTTCTTCTCGCTTCTCACATTCGCCAGGCATGAGCAGGAAAAGTGTTGAGCGGGCACGCATGTTGCGTGATAAACTTATGTCTCCTGAGAAGAAGAAAAAGACTGCGCTTGATCTAAGAAAGGAAGCGGAAGAAAAGCATGCAAGGGCCATGAGGATTAGAAGTGAGCTAGAGAATGAGAGAGTTCAAAAGCTTCAGCGTACCTCAGAGAAACTGAACCGTGTCAATGAGTGGCAGGCTGTTCGCAGCATGAAGTTACGAGAGGTAATGAAGGCTCGCCACCAGCGTAGTGAGTCTCGGCATGAAGCTTTTCTAGCTCAGGTTGTGAAAAGAGCTGGGGATGAAAGTAGCAAAGTTAATGAGGTTCGTTTCATTACTTCACTAAATGATGAGAACAAAAAGCTTATATTGCGTCAGAAACTTCATAATTCAGAGCTGAGGAGAGCCGAGAAACATCTAGTAATGAAAACTAAACAGAAAGAAGATATTGCAAGAGAAGGAGCTGTTTTGGAACGCAGGAGGCTCATTGAATCTGAAAAGTTGCAGCGTCTTGCAGAGACACAGCGAAAAAAAGAAGAGGCTCAAGTAAGACGAGAAGAGGAACGCAAAGCATCAAGTGCAGCACGAGAGGCAAAGGCTATGGAACAGATGCGAAGAAAGGAGAGTCGTGCCAAAGCTTTACAAGAGGAAGCTGAACTTCTGGCCCAGAAATTAGCTGAAAGACTCAGTGAAAGTGAACAGCGTCGTAAGTTTTACTTGGAGCAAATTCGTGAGAGAGCTTCAATGGATTTCAGGGATCAATCGTCACCTTTACTGCGGCGTTCTTTGAATAGGGATGGTCAGGGTAGAACAACACCTACCAATAATGGTCAAGATTATCAGGCTAGCTACACCTCAGGTTCAGAAGGCTCCACTTTCCCAACTGGTGATATGGTGTCGCAGCACTCATTAAAGCGAAGGATTAAAAAACTTCGTCAAAGGCTAATGGCTCTGAAATATGAATTTCCTGAACCACCGGTAGGAACTGAAAATGGTGGTATTGGATATAGAACAGCGGTGGGAACCGCTAGGGTGAAAATTGGGAAGTGGCTTCAAGAACTTCAAAGACTTCGGCAAGCAAGAAAGGAAGGAGCTGCAAGCATTGGATTAATTACTGCTGAAATGATTAAGGTACTCATTTCAGACCTTCACTTAAAGTTTTATCTGAGTATCTATTTCTGCAAAATGCAATTGAAGTTAGAACAAGTTCTCCTTCCAGTATTTTATCAATGCATGCCCTGAAAAAAGAGAAAAAAATAGTAGTGTATCTGTTACAACTTAAAATAATTTTGTTAACATTTTGCAATGAACATGGAATCTCAAACTCATTTATTCTGACATTAATTTGTGGATAGTTCTTGGAGGGTAAGGAACCTGAGCTACAAACTTCTCGACAAGCCGGTCTGCTTGATTTTGTAGCTTCTGCTCTGCCAGCTTCTCACACATCAAAGCCTGAAGCCTGCCAAGTGACTCTGTATCTTTTGAGACTTTTGAGAGTGTTGTTGTCAGTGCCTGCCAACAGGGGTTATTTTCTTGCACAAAATCTGTTGCCCCCAATCATCCCCATGTTGGCTGCAGCTCTTGAGAACTATATCAAAATTGCGGCATCATCAAGTGTCCCTGGTTGCACGAACCTGCTTTCTAATGAAACATCAATTGAGAATATGGAATCCATCTCTGAAGTATTGGAGGGCTTTCTGTGGACTGTTGCAACAATTATTGGTCATATAAGCTCTGATGAGCGCCAACTCCAAATGCAGTATGGTTTGCTGGAGCTTGTGATTGCATATCAAGTTATTCACCGGCTGCGAGATCTTTTTGCACTTTATGATAGGCCACAGGTAGAGGGCTCGCCATTTCCTTCATCCATTCTTTTAAGTATAAATCTGTTGGCAGTTTTGACTTCGCGATACAGAACTATGTCTTCCATTGATTGGGAATCTTTTCCAATAGAAAAAATGTCACAAAATAGTACTGAAGAGGTGAAACTTGCTGAGGATGCAGATTTGGGATGTCTACCTCCATGCAACTCAAGTGGCGATCATAGATTGTCCTTATCTGTACCTTTACCCGATGTACCAGAAGATAGGCCACTAGATGAATCATATAATCTAAAAGGAATTGGCGACTCAGCATCCATTAACCAGGAGTCATATAAAGCTGAATTTATTAGCATTAAGAAGAACACTTCAGATATTCAAGATGAGCCTCCGAGTACTTTGACAGATGATGTTGCCAAGTGTTCTGTTTCCCAGAAGGATGAGAAGAATCCTGTCAATAATGGTGCAGAACTAATGAAGGAAAAAAAGTCGGGCTCGAAGCAATCAGTTGCATTTCTTCTTTCTGCGATATCTGAGACTGGCTTAGTCTGTCTTCCTTCCCTGTTGACAGCTGTTCTTTTGCAGGCTAACAACCGATTGAGTTCTGAACTGGTAATTTTGATGTCACTTGCTACTATAAGGCTTGTAGTTCTAACTTCATTTCATATCATGATTACTTTCAGGGAAACTTCACTTTACCCAACGTTGTTAGGCCCCTTTGCATTCCACTTTAACCCATGTTGTTAACCCCAACTAATTATTAGAGGAATTCTAAGGCTTTAGGATTTAGCACAGGCAGCACAAAGAGCATTGCATATTTACAAAGCTTAAATGAGATACTAAATCAAGGTACACAACATTAATTGAAGAATTACTCGCTGAAGCTTGCTGGTCTTTGAGTAATATATTTTTTTCACTCTCGTATCTGCCGAATAAGGAGAGCCCATAATATTNATGAGATACTAAATCAAGGTACACAACATTAATTGAAGAATTACTCGCTGAAGCTTTCTGGTCTTTGAGTAATATATTTTTTTCACTCTCGTATCTGCCGAATAAGGAGAGCCCATAATACTTTTTTGCCTTTTCTTCTCTATCTGTTTCTTCCTCTAAAATAACTGGCTAAAATTCTTGAAGCTCTCCAGGATCATTTTCCACGAGTAAATCATCATTCAAGTAAGGTATGTGACACTCATCATACATCTCTGTATAGATCTTTGGCTTCCATAAAATCATCACCAAGTTAGCATTTCTACATGCATTAAACATACCCTTTGCTTACTATATTTGGCACTAAAACATGGTGTGAGGTTTTTCTGATGAGCTTCAGATTCCTTGAATGTGGGCTCTAATAAGGGCCCATGCGTCTAAGGATTTGAGCATCCTCATCTAAAAACTTTGGAGGAATTCCGTTTTCTTGATTAAGGATCATTGGGTTCACATGTGTTCTGATTGTTGCGAATGCAACATGTTATGTTATATTCTGAGTTAGCCCTAAAGTGTTATCTTTTTTTTTTCCCCCTTTTTGAGGACTCCTTGCCCTCTCATGTGTTTTTTATATTCCTCTTAATAAAAAAAATTTCCTGCTTCCTATCCACCACAAAAATAAAAATGGCCCATTGAGTCATATTATGGGTTAAGATGCATTGCTTTATTTTGACTTCATTAAGGTTTATCAGTGTTGTCTTTTTTGGTTGTTGCTATAACACTGAAATCTTGTACTGTTTTTACTTCCTAGGCTTATAAAATGTGTTTCATAACCTGTCTTTTGTTGTCCTTGCATAACGGGTTTAAATCTAGCCTGATCATTGGTGTTATGGGTATGTGCATGAGCATCTGGGCTTTAGATGTTCTAAATTGGCTTAAGTTATGATTCAGGTCTCATATACCCTTCCATCTAATTTTGAAGAAGTGGCAACTGGAGTTCTGAAGGTGTTGAACAATTTGGCTCTAATGGATATTACGTTTATCCAGACAATGCTAGTAAGTTTGTTTATTTCTTCTGATTATGTTTAGTTCTTAGTTTTATGTTGACTAGCTCCATGCTCTTTGTATCTTCATAATTTCTGACATGGGAGTCCATCAACCATGTGTAGCTTCGTTGTTTTTCCAGGAGTTAACTTTTCTTCCCTTCCTAAATTGACCACAGGCCAGGCTGGACCTGAAAATGGAATTATTCCACTTGATGAGCTTTCTTCTTTCACATTGCGCAAGCAAGTGGGGTGTAGCTACTGATCAGGTGATCTGATTCTATGCACACCACTTTGTTTTTTTGGATACATTGACCTATAAATTGTACACACGGTTGCATGCATGACCCAACCTGCGACATTGCTGCATGAGCTATAGTTTCTTGGAGTGTCTGCATACAGTTTCCATGAACAGGCATATACTATTATAAAGTATAATCCATACATAGAATCTGTATTTATTAAAATTATTAGAAGTATTCTTCCTTTTCACTTGCTGAAATAGTGGACATTTATCAACTAGCCAGAAAGAAGAGTCTTCTTTCTGTAGACGTCTATCATTACATCAATCTTTGCCAGTCTCCTTGGCTTTTTCATATTTTCTCTTTGTTGTGCTTTTCATATACAAACTTCTCCCACACCCCTCTTTCGAATAATTAATCAATTTTATTGTCTCATGAGGTCACCCAGAGGGCTAAATGAGTGCAGTATTTTTGTTTCTTTTTGGCCTAAGTGTACTCTGCATATTCAACACGTCTTCTCATGCCAATAACAGGATTTTTGCCAGGGATGATCTATGCCATGTCTAATTTCTTTAAAGTGGTTATAGATTACCATTATGTGAAAGATCTGGTGGCCTGTTTCCTTGGTGTTTTTTCCTATTCCATTGAGTAATCATTCAACTTTTTATCCTTGTAGCTTAACATTTCCAATACTTGGCATGTGGCATATTTTGTTTGTTTGAGTGGGAGGGACGGAGTGATTATACATTGTGAAAACATAAGAAGGGACCTACCACAATTTTATATTAAAAATCCAATTTGATCCACTCAGTGTGCAGTATATTGCTTATTTGAACTCTTAGCCTTGCTGATTCCACGAATTGTTTCATGACCTTTTTTAATGATTAGATTGTTTGTTAGTAGTTTCAGTGCCTTCTCTTGGCTGGGGCATTGCTTGTGTTACACATAGTAGTATTGACTCTGCGTCCTTGGTTTATGCGACTCTCTTGTTATCTTTTTATTACAATGAATTACATATTGCAAATGTGCACAAACACATACTAGGAACCTCTTTGACATGGGTGATCATGATTTGTAATTAAAATGTTAGGCTGGATGTTATGAGCGTCTTCAATTAGGCATTCTGGTAGGATGAAAATGGGTATACCTGTCCAACGACTCTGCGTCCCTTCAAATATTCATTTTGATGACCAGTTTGAATGCCTAATTAAGGATGTTAAGAGTTCCAAGCAATCTGTGGCTTTGGCTTTTACANGTCCCTTCAAATATTCATTTTGATGACCAGTTTGAATGCCTAATTAAGGATGTTAAGAGTTCCAAGCAATCTGTGGCTTTGGCTTTTACACCGGATTTAACCCTATGCCCGATTCATAGTTGCTTAATTCTACGGATGTACATAAATAGGGACGTTGTTTAATGGCAGGACTTGCTAAATGCTTTGTGCCATTTTGCATGTGTCTCAGATTGGTTTGCTCTTGCTTGAATCTTTATCANTGTTTAATGGCAGGACTTGCTAAATGCTTTGTGCCATTTTGCATGTGTCTCAGATTGGTTTGCTCTTGCTTGAATCTTTATCACTTCTTGGTTCCTTTTCTTTGTTCCATCCTGAGAATCAAGCTGTACTTCGATGGGGAAAGAGCCCCACCATTCTCCACAAGGTCAGATGATCTGTACAAACTTCCTTTAATATATCATGATGTTCATTGAGAAAATCTAATAGATAAGCTCGAAAAACAGGTATGCGATCTGCCTTTTGTGTTCTTCAGTGATCCCGAATTGATGCCAATCTTGGCTGGCACATTAGTTGCTGCTTGCTTCGGATGTGAGCAGAACAAGTGTGTGGTTCAGCAGGAACTTAGCACGGATATGCTCCTTTCCTTGCTCAAATCTTGCAGAAATAATTTGCCTACAGCTAGCTNGTCCCTTCAAATATTCATTTTGATGACCAGTTTGAATGCCTAATTAAGGATGTTATGAGTTCCAAGCAATCTGTGGCTTTGGCTTTTACACCGGATTTAACCCTATGCCCAATTCATAGTTGCTTAATTCTACGGATGTACATAAATGGGGACGATNTTTAACCCTATGCCCGATTCATAGTTGCTTAATTCTACGGATGTACATAAATGGGGACGATGTTTAATGGCAGGACTTGCTAAATGCTTTGTGCCATTTTGCATGTGTCTCAGATTGGTTTGCTCTTGCTTGAATCTTTATCACTTCTTGGTTCCTTTTCTTTGTTCCATCCTGAGAATCAAGCTGTACTTCGATGGGGAAAGAGCCCCACCATTCTCCACAAGGTCAGATGATCTGTACAAACTTCCTTTAATATATCATGATGTTCATTGAGAAAATCTAATAGATAAGCTCGAAAAACAGGTATGCGATCTGCCTTTTGTGTTCTTCAGTGATCCTGAATTGATGCCAATCTTGGCTGGCACATTAGTTGCTGCCTGCTTCGGATGTGAGCAGAACAAGGGTGTGGTTCAGCAGGAACTTAGCATGGATATGCTCCTTTCCTTGCTCAAATCTTGCAGAAATAATTTGCCTACAGCTAGCTCCATTTCCACCACACACAATCCTGCTATCACCGAGTCTAATGAATCATCNGGATATGCTCCTTTCCTTGCTCAAATCTTGCAGAAATAATTTGCCTACAGCTAGCTCCATTTCCACCACACACAATCCTGCTATCACCGAGTCTAATGAATCATCGTTGGGTCCTGAACATAGAAAACTTCAGGGTTCCATCCCCCAAAGATCCACCCGTCACAATCAACGAAGCACACGGATGTTGTCTTCTGGAAAGGCTGGTGCTGCAGGGTACAGCGCAAAAACTGTGAAGATGCGAAATCAAAAAGATAGCAAGGCAATGAAATTTTGTGATGAAATGGTTGTGAAGGACAATCTATCAGCTTCAGAAGCTTCCTCTACTCTGAAGTTACACTGTAGATTCCCTGAAAGCTTCATTGATAAAGCAGAGCAATTTTTTTCGGCAGAAATTAGTTTGAATGATTAGAGAGGTATGAGGTGAAGACATTCTTATAGATTGAATGTGATAAGATGAGCCTTGAATTAGAGCTGCAGCATATTTGGTAAGTCGATTTTATATGACCCTTCAATTCCATAATCGGTTTTTTGTTACAGACATCAGTTGTAAGCACTAGATTTCATACAACACATACGCAGTTTCTGGTATTTGCTGGCAAAAATTCTCTTGCTGGGACCATGTGAAAGGTTTGGAGGCTAGCCATANAACATTCGTGATCTAAAGTATGTTGTCATACGCAGTTTCTGGTATTTGCTGGCAAAAATTCTCTTGCTGGGACCATGTGAAAGGTTTGGAGGCTAGCCATATTAATGGATCAAACTAGAGGTGGTAAATGGTCTGGTTCAAGATAGGTTGGGTGGAAAATAATAATCTCTGCATCCTCAGCAAGATGAATAGAAATTTCGGAAACTTGGGGGTCAAACTGTAATTTCCGAAAATTTAGGGATCAAACTGTTATTTCCAAAACTTTATGGGTCAATGTAATTTCAGAAACTCGAGGGCAAGATGTAATTTAACTAAAGTAGGAGGCCAAATTGTAATTTCTGAAACTTTTGGGGCCAAATGGTAGTTTAAAAAACTTGAGGGGTCAAAAGACTTTAGGTGCAAATTATTAAGTGAGAGGCCAAATTGTAATTTTCCAAAATTCAAGGGACAAATTTGTAATTTCTTGAACATTAGGGGCTAAACTAAATTTCCAAAACTTTAAGGTCCAAACTATAATTTGAGACTACCGCCTCCCGATGAAACCATAATATAAACCCAACACTTGCCGAAAAACACCCCCCAACCTTAAAAGAGCCTTGAAGACAAGAATCTCAAAATGTGTCAATTACTACTTTTCATCATTTTGGCCTTCATTCTTTCCACTCTCGTCATTCAAGTAATTCAAATATTCAATGTGTCGGTTTGTTCCAGTAAGAAGATTGTTTAAATTGACTATTGAAAGTGGCTACATACTTCCAAGTTCTCACAAAAGCCTAGAGTGACATAAATTGTAAACTCGAACAATCAAAATCACACTAATTACAACGCTCCTCTGTTAAACAANGCCTTCATTCTTTCCACTCTCGTCATTCAAGTCCTTCAAATATTCAATGTGTCGGTTTGTTCCAGTAAGAAAATTGTTTAAATTGACTATTGAAAGTGGCTACATACTTCCAAGTTCTCATCAGCAACCCCCCCCCCCCCAAAAAAAAAAAAACAAAAAAAAAAAAAAACACACACACACACACAAAAACAACATACACTGGAACATAAAAACTGCCATGTCCACAAGATGATTGCAGTAGCCCAAGCAAAACGAAAAGAATTTTCAAATGGCACAGTAAATAAAATTGTAACAACTAGCAAATGACATCTTGCTGATGAATGATGCGCCTCCTATGTCACATCTGACAGGACTACGGCTCCATTAATCTGACTTATACAATCCTGAAAAATCCCTAGGCTTCATTATAGATTGCATACTAGTAGTACATCNTAGCAAATGACATCTTGCTGATGAATGATGCGCCTCCTATGTCACATCTGACAGGACTACGGCTCCATTAATCTGACTTATACAATCCTGAAAAATCCCTAGGCTTCATTATAGATTGCATACTAGTAGTACATCTGGCAACAAATGACCTCCTTTATACATGGTGATTCAACAGAATTCCCAACCCGCACAAGCATTGTACAGGCGTTATCTCGAGAATATGAAAAACAAACTGGCCAACCGTTCCAAAGACCTGATTCTTGCAAATTCTTCCCTTTCATGGCTACAACAAGAAGATCGTGCAGATACTCCTTTAAGATGCTTTGCTATTGGTAGGGTATCAAGATTCTGGATTGCCCACAAGGGGGTTTTCCTGATCTGGACTTGTGCTAATAGTTTCTGCTCGAGAATATGCACTCCCAGGAACCTTGATTAGAAGTTCATCCTCCTCTTTTTTCTCATTAATCTCCAACTGATCCCGATCCTGAAATTAATTTTGCAATACTAAAAAGCAACTAAACCAAGTAATGCTGATTTGGAGTGTAAATTTATGACTAGCAGCCGATGAAGGACATCCAAACAGAGTGTTTTGTGACTTGTAAAGACACAAGTAACAAGAAGGAAAACATAAATCTAGTTGAGTTCTGCTTCAGAAAAAAACTAACTCCTCAATTTAAAACTGACATCAAAATGTATTATTGACCACGTCGGGACAAGATATCGATCAAACCCACTCTATTTCCAGGATGTTAAACTTCACAGTAGCTCGGGCATATCAAGATGAACACTGTTTCAAACATAGAAAGATTCTTTAACGAATTTTAGTTTTATAATAAATTATAGTCCTGTTTGTGTGCCCAAATTGACTAAACATAATCTCCACCAAACAAACACTCCTGAGTAGGAAACTGATCTAACAAGCATCGAATCAACAGCACTTCCTCAACTGATAACGTGTCCAATTTCTTCATTAGTAAGCGTAAGCAAATTCTTTTTCCCGCCGCCAAAAACACTTTTACATCATGATAAGTATAGTGACCAGTTGACAATCAAGATTAATTAAGAAACAACAAGCTCAAAACTACTAAACTAGAAATGACCAATGGATTGCTGTCAGGAAGGACACAGTACCTTTAGCTCAGCGTCAATTTGAGCTGTGCTCTTGATATTTCTGAGGTCACTCATGATGACTTTAAGTTGTTTCTTGGCTTTGACCCTTCTTGAACGTCTCTCTGCACATTGTGCTACAGTAACATCAGCATGACAAGCAACACAAAAGGTTCTCATGTTCTCTAGCTTGCATTCACCTGCATATATTAAAGAAGATCAATACGAAACTAAAAAAATAATTCATTTACAGTAGGTAAGAAAACAGAGTCGTCAGGAGTGCTGTTTCAGAACCAAAGATTTTCAAGACAAAGATATAACGAGTAGGGACAATTAACTAGCAAGGTCCGCAATGACAATCTCAAAATTAAGCAACAAATTCAGATATATGTAAATATTTATCAAGAGGCATATAATATTAGAGGAAGAACGTAGTCCTAAACAGTAAATTTGGAGAGAGAAAATTATACTGCACCTCCCCCTCGGTAGACGGGTACAATGTGGTCTGCATGCCATGCATTTCCCTCAGTTGGGTCATGCACAAGCTTGTCGAGTCTGGAAAATCAAACAGAAAATTATCAACGTTTTTTAGCCCAATATAGGCATATAAGATAAGAATATACTTGTATATAATTTACAAAAAGAAACGAAATACTATTTTTTATTTATTTTACAGATACACTTAAGTTGTTTCATAATAAAGACAGGGCATTGTTGGGTTGAGTAGTGAGTTATTTGCCAACTATACTCTCCTTGATATTAAAAACTCAAAGGTAGCCGTTATGTTATCTTTGTTGGGTCTGCTCCTTGTCTGTCAGCTAGATTGATGAAATTAACACCCATTTTTATTACTTGAGTGAAAAACATTTTAGGAGTGTTCGATCAGAGCCCAACATGGACAGAGAGAAACAGCTACAAAAGGTTAACCACACTTCAAAGTCAGTATTTAACCGATGAGCCATTTACTGGTCCAAAGACTATGCTCCTTTTACGTACTTGAACAAGTATCATTTACCTAGCAATAGGGAGGAAAACTACCCTTTAGACAAAAAGGATGAGCAAAAACCTCAAAATAAAGACAACTTATATTTTGGGTAGAAAATTTACATTTTTGAGACATCTACACTGTACTGAACAATTCGAAGGGATGCTATTGATTAAACTCACAATTTCTTGCGTTGTGCCAATTTTGGTGCAACTTTCTTGATATACTCTTGCCTCTTTGCATATGATAGAGGTCTTATGCGTTCCACAAGTTTATGACAATCTAGTTGGCAATTCATACAAATGCCACGTTCAATTTGGAAGAGTCCCTGAAAACCTCAGAATGTCACGTGCAATACATAAATTCTGACACTTCCCCCACTAGACAGGGAAACATACAATTCAAGAATAATACAATGAACCCGCATTCAAGTTCTCACCTCACGAAGGGATCTGTTGCTAGTTCTTAAGCGATATTCTTCATAGCATCCCAAATTACAGAAAAGATCCTCAAAAAATTCAGGTGCCTTGGCATTGCCGCCCCTGAAAGTCAAGAATTAGTCATACTCTACAGCCACTTCTGATTGATATCAGTTATCCGACTTACTTGCAAGGAGTTTGACAAAGTTTGCATAGTGGTTCATCCAAGAGAGTCCAACCCTGTGCATATTTTTTTTCCTTTTTGCCATAGCCGCCACATAGACAGACCATTCTCCATATGGCATTCGGTGGTAAGGGATTGGTTATCTCATCCCATGGTGTAGTACGCCTCTTGCTTCCACCCTTGAGCAATCCCTGTTAGAATATTTGGGTCAAATCATATTAGTAACTCGTATGAAAAGAAAATAGTAAAAAAAAAAAAAAGAATTGACACCCTATTTTGTTTGATTCTGTCGAGTGAATACAATGAAATACAATCACAAATTTTGATGCAACCAAAAAAATTGCAAAATAAAATAGAAGGAAGGAAAGGGCACTGAGGAGAAATCATATAGAAATGAGCTATTTGATGGGAGTCGCCCGTTTACAATTCCCTATAGTTGTAATTTTTCACATAAGAAAGGTTCTAAGCCCACCGGTTACCGGCTTTCATATAGCATCTTTGCGCTGAGGCTTCTCGATTAACTATATGACTTTTTTGAAGAAAAGCAGAAGTCTTCTTTATATACACAATTATCACTCTAGTCTTTCGTTTGAAAATTTCCCAAAAAACTAATTCTAAATTCTTCTCCATTGGAACATTGAAGTCTCCTGTAATAATGAGGTCATCAAAACCAAGGAAAGAAACAAAGTCCATGCAAATGCAAACATACCTCACAATCATGGTTATTGCTTTCCTTCAAATAGCACAACTCAATAGATAAAGGAAGTTGTAAAGGCTTGGAAAGCAACTTTTTTCGTTCAATTGGCCTCAACTTGTTCCATTCATCAACGAATGCCACGAGGGCATGTCTATATCTTGGATCCTCCTTGATACAATTATAAGCTGTTGTCTTCCTGTCCTCAACGGGAGGAAGTTGTGACTCAACTTCCTCTGATCGAAAATTCTCAAAAAGTGGTCTTGGTCTTGAATCTACTTGCGGAATGCAAGAGTACAAATGGATCCTTCCTGTATACTGACTCACCTGTATAGATAGTAAAATGAATGAAATTTATAACCACATCCATTTTCTATAACCCATCTTGTTGCCTTCAAATGTTTAACCAAACAGGATCTACAAATTCCTTGGCCTACTTATGTGGAAGGAATAATTTACAATATAAACAAGCATATTGTCCAACTGCATGAGTATAGAACCTTAAAGTAAACCTATAAATCAAAACATAAATAGTTTCAACAACCTGATTGAAACTGTTTTCCCCTAGACAGGCTATTCAAAATTAATGGTTTCTCCTGGTATCAATTTCATATTTGTTCAAGAAAATAGAAGTATTTTTGAAGGATGTATGCAATGTAAACTTGCTGATGATCTTAATCCACAACAGCTGGTGTTGATTGGGCTTCTGAGTTTTGGTAGACTAAGGAGATATCCTAATATGAACCAAACTCAAAACAGTTGGCAAGGATTTTTAGCTCTACACTACGTCCACCAAGCGATTCCTTGATGCCTCAGACAATGTATAGAAGTCTATAGTAGATCCCAAAAAGTCAAGAAAACCTGTTTTGTTAAGGAATAAATTTCAGAAGATAAGCTAACAAAAAAAAAACGGAAGTCAAACTGTCAAAACAGAAAAACTAAAAATCAACATAGAATGAGACCCAGGAAATAGGAATCCAAATTCAGAAAGAGTAGAGATTATCTTATGTGTTTGTGATGCGCCAACTGTGATGTAAACATGCTTTTAGACTATCACATGGTATTTATACTGCGAGCATGAAAAGTAATATAATAAGAGAAAAAACGGAAAGCATAAAACTTCTATGAAAATCCTCCACAAATAGAAGTTTTAGCAAGAATTATCTCGAGAATATTGGCCATGGCATTCTAAGTAGAATGATGTGATCTACTAGTATTCTTTCATTCCAAGACAAAAGAACCATTAATATCATGATATTTATAAAAATCAACTGTCAAAACATTCTTCTGATAATTCTTGCCAAAAGTTCTGTTGAAAGAACACAACTCAATTCTATTATACAAAAGAATACACAATAAAAACTCATAATAGACAAAGCTCCTCTAAAACTAAGTCGGACACAAGTCACACAACTAATTACNTGAAAGAACACAACTCAATTCTATTATACAAAAGAATACACAATAAAAACCCATAATAGACAAAGCTCCTCTAAAACTAAGTCGGACACAAGTCACACAACTAATTACAGCAAGCAATTATTGGCCAATACACATAAATAAAAAATGTATAAACTTGACAACAAACAAACATAAAATTACTGAAACACCCCGTCAGTAAAAGAAAAACAGATTTTTGCAAATCAAAAGGTATGATGGTCAACTGGGTCCACCCAACACAGTAAAATTTGTAGCTTTGACTCTCATGACATTAAATGTTGGACCATCAGTGCATAAATGGCGCACATGGATTTTTCCTATTCTTTTATTTTCCAATCAGACACTTTAACGAGCTGATAACCATCAAATAACTAAGTTTAAATCATATGCATAAGCCAGTGTCCAAATGAAGAAGCTGAACCTTCTACAATTTCGATTCTTCTAGTTTTTGACGACGAAAGAGGATCTACGTGGGTAGTATGATCTAATGATGTGGCAATGACATGGTATAATAGTGTATGCTATTGGACTTCTACATTGGCACCATATCACTTCTTTTTTTCGCTATTAATAAACTGAAGTACAAGGTGAAAAGGAGATAAATACTAAATCCTAGATTACTAGTCCTGTCTCTAGCATCAACTTGACAAATCAGGTCAAGTTTTAAGGTCCAAATAGCATCGCATTTATTGTTTAGTCGTTCACCACGTTGGAACACGAGGTTCCTCCCCAAAGTTTTGGTAGCATGACTCCTCGAATAGCTTCAGGTGTTAGAACAGGGAAGTTATTAGTAAATAGAATTAGGTTTTTGTTGTCCTGGGGGAGTAGTAGTATTGAAGAGATTTAGGGACTAGACCTCAGCAATTTCTTACAAAGNCCACGTTGGAACACGAGGTTCCTCCCCAAAGTTTTGGTAGCATGACTCCGCGAATAGCTTCAGGTGTTAGAACAGGGAAGTTATTAGTAAATAGAATTAGGTTTTTGTTGTCCTAGGGGAGTAGTAGTATTGAAGAGATTTAGGGACTAGACCTCAGCAATTTCTTACAAAGAATGTAATCAAGTGGCAAACTGGCTAGAAAAGTTGATGGACCGAATGTTTCAACTTTCAACGATTTTGAAGACAAACCTCGGCTGTTTTCTACCATGAAAGGAATCAGATAATCAAAAATGGGCTTCATTATGCCAGGNTGATGGTGATAATGTTCCAGAACATTGATAGTATCACCATGAGCTTTTATATGGAGAGAGAGAGAGAGAGCAGCTAGACTACTCAAGATCAATGAACAGCTGAAGCAGTGTTTCTCATCCTATAAGACAATGAATGAATGCCAAAACTCTTCCTCATATATCAGATAGTAAACTTGTCATTGTGCTGTCTCAAAGNATATTTCTAGTCCCACTTTATTGGGAGAATGGGTTCATTTATATGCTCAACTTATTTGGGAGTNGGATTACTAGTCCCACTTTATTGGGAGAATGGGTTCATTTATATGCTCAACTTATTTGGGAGTGGTTAACCTAACAAAATCAGAGTTTTTGACTTTTTACCTCACCAATGGTCTAGTTATCTTTTAATCCCCCCCCCCTAGGCACGCTTTAGTAAGGTAGAGAAATAAAATTTACTTTCATAACACTTTGAAAACAAAAATGGTTTTATTGACTTCATCATGGGCAAAAGAAACCTCATAGAAAGTTTCAACGAAAATTTTCGATAATATTTCACCTCAAAGCGCAGAGAATTCACTTGCATAGAGCTATTTGCAGCAGCTTCACAAAGCTCAACAGATAGATCATGATTTAAATCTTTGGTCTCAGGAGATGTCTTGTTGACCTGCATCATCAAATTTTCAAACCCCCTCCCTCGCACAAAGAATATATATCAAAGAAAAAACCAAAAAAAAAAAGAATTATCTGCAAAAATAATGATTTATGTTCTACCTTCTTCATTCGGTACTTGTTTTCACTGCCATCTGAATAGTGGGAAGAAACACCCCCAGCACTTTCAGCTTTAGATTCAGAAGCATTACTTTCTGGTCCTGCATTTGGAACAGTGCTCCCCATTTCTAGATTGGAAGCAAAATCAGCCTGTTGATTTAACAAAATTTCAATGTTCCAGCAAAACAATGCAACAAGTGAGCAGACAAAAACTTAGCTAGAAGCAAGAACTATTTTGATTGTCTGAAATACCACCTCAGTATGAAGATTGTCTTTCTGAGATGACTTGCAAATATTCTCATTCAATTCTGCATATCTTTTATTAGCATTTTCATCCAATACATCGCATGCTTCAACAGGCTGCAAATTTTGATCAAAGCAAACACTAGGAAGCTTGATCAGCTCCACCGCTGAAACTTCAGCACTTGCTCTCTCCAAAAACGAATTTTCACTTCTTCCATCTGTTTCTCCAGTTGTTTCAAGGTAAGAAACACTATCGACCTGTCATTTTTGACATAACAATAATATAAGGATGAAGAAATAATATCATAAACTTTGCAATAGATAGTGACTTCCACAACCACACAGCACTGAGATTTCAGAGCAGCATGCAGAAAAGAAACCGACTTCAATGACATAAATAAATCAAACCGCAACTTAATAGAGTTATGCATCAGCAAATTAGCACCAACTAGCATTATTGGGCTACCAAGCGATAGTAGAAAGGGCAGGTGGTCGATGGTGATAATGTTCCAGAACATTGATAGTATCACCATGAGCTTTTATATGGAGAGAGAGAGAGAGAGAGAGAGAGAGAGAGAGAGAGACAGCAGCTAGACTACTCAAGATCAATGAACAGCTGAAGCAGTGTTTCTCATCCTATAAGACAATGAATGAGTGCCAAAACTCTTCCTCATATATCAGATAGTAAACTTGTCATTGTGCTGTCTCAAAGCAAGGTCATCTTCCAGTCCAAACAGTAATGCTTTTGAATGGTAGTACAAACCAAATACATGGCTTGACTTTATGGTAAGTAAATAATCATTGTTGGGTTTCTTAGAGAAAAAAGCGGATTCAAAATTTTGTTACGGGAGTTTTTTGGGTACCGATAAACAGAAATGAAGAATAGGCTCCCCAAACATGGAACGAATAAAAATGTAATGAATAATGAATACAATTGTAANAACCAAATACATGGCTTGACTTTATGGTAAGTAAATAATCATTGTTGGGTTTCTTAGAGAAAAAAGCGGATTCAAAATTTTGTTATGGGAGTTTTTTGGGTACCGATAAACAGAAATGAAGAATAGGCTCCCCAAACATGGAACGAATAAAAATGTAATGAATAATGAATACAATTGTAAGATGGTAAGACTATAATGATTGTATCAAATGAGCATTACTCAATTTTAAACAGGTAACCAAGATTCAAAAAGAGTACCGCTATCTCTTGTACTGCATCATACTTTCCATTCATGGTAGATGAAACACGGTACAAACTCTTATTCAATTGTTGCCACAGTGACTCATCTGAAGTACCCTGAAATAAGGCTAAACCATGTAAAAGCAGCATAACTAAAGCATTTGTTGAAGGAGTTTCAAGACATAGCATAACAAAAAGGCAAGCACCTTTGCACAGAAGATATATATGTTTACTGCCTTGGTTTGCCCTCGCCTGTGAGCTCTACCTTCGGCCTTTAAAAGTTAAACCAACCATAAAGCCATCACAGACACATTCTAAAGCAAGTAGTATTAAGTAAAGGTGTAATTGTCACAATAAGCAGTAAGTGGGATAGATGTAGGGTAGCAAGCAAAGACACAGCTGTCAGTGAAATCTTAATGATCACATAACATAAGAGCAAAATCTTGAAGGCTCATTCTGCAATAGACAGGAGGAATGCCATCAGCACTACACTACCAATATGCACCAGCAAACTTGCCATGTGCAACAAATGAAAAGCTGTTTCGAGTAACAAACCAAAAGAAGTATGACAGAACTAACATAGTTTCCAATTTTATCGTACAAATTCATTAGCAATCCTAAATGTTTTAAAGTACTCCTAGTTCAAAACCAATGATTACAAGTATTTTTTCCTCATTTATGTTAAATTATCACCATGACAAGACAAACCCACCACAGCCAAATGAACACAAGGCATAGATAACTAAAAAAATACATAACAGGCTTAGGACTATTTAAAACTGTGGCGCATGGTAACGTCTCTCCAAAAAGACCTCATTTTGCTTGTGATTTCTACCAAACTTCAACTGCCACTGAACAGGGGTAACTGCAGATTCGCGATCGAACTAAAAACAGTCACTTAATCAGATAAAGCAAAAGCTATCAGTTGCAAGATGAGGAAGAAAAAATCCTGATAAAGTGATGGTGCAGACACATGTCAACTTGGCACACCAGGATTGATTGGCAATAAACTTCAGTTAAGTTTTTGACATCTTTTGCATCTTTCTACCCTTTTATCGTTCTCTCTTCTCAAGTTTGCAGAGGATATCCAAATGCAAGGGTATATACTTTCATATTAACTCAAAAAGGAAGAGTTCAGATTCAACGTTGAACTGCATGTAGAGATAGTCACCTGAAGCATATGGGCTGGTTCTTTAGGCAACTCCAAGAACACAACATTTTGTGCTGATGACAAATTAAGTCCAGAGCCCCCAGCAAGTATTCCGATTATGGCAATCTTAACCTGAAGGAATGGAAACTCGTTAGTAGGCAAAGGGGAAAAACCATAAGACAATAATTCACATATTTTCCCCCTCTTTCATACACATTCTTCAAGTTGTTTACGCCTATAACTGAGATAAATTTTAGGCAAGCAAAACTTTGGCAGCACCATACACAGATTCTCACACGATAAAGGGGGAAAGCACGGCTTGTAGCACAAGCTCCAGTAGCATGCAAGTGATTAGCTATGCTACATGCTGTTTAAGCCTTTCTCCATCGTTACATCAGTGGAAAAAGTCGTATGATAACTTAATGTTAATGAATATCACGTTAAACACACAATCCACACGTGCACACACAAAGCTCATCAGAATAGGATTCTAATTCAAGTAGTTCAAGGAAGCTTGAGGAGTATCTACATGCCTCTTCTGATGATTGGAAGGATTGAACAGCTAACTGCCTATCTCCAGCAGGTGTATTCCCATCAATGCGAACAAACCCTACACCTTTCTCACATATAAACTCCTGAGTCATTAATATCAGAAAAATTATCAGGAAAACATGAATATAATATCAAAATATGTACAAATATAGTTCCAAGTAGAATATACAGAATACCAATGGGTATACCGCAATCATACCGGAATGGTAACTTTCTCCAAGGAAAATTATGGTGTTCATTGCATTAGGGAGATGCTTACACACTATTTTGAATCAAATTATATATAAAGCGCAAATATTTCTTATTGCACACTATAGGGTATATGCACCCTGACGCCCACCCTATGCCCGCCAGCACTTTGATCACTGCACGACAATGGCTTTGGCAACAAACATAAAATTATTTGCAGGGTGAAAAATACAGATGATTTTCCAGAAAAAATGTAGAGATACAAAGAAACTATCAAATCACATCATTATGACAAAAAAATAAATAAAAATCCATTCCCTATAACGTACAAACATAAATATAAGAGATTGATGTGTGCTACTGAGAATTATGTAGCACAGAACATCACTAGATAGCCGTATATACTCCTTTCTAATCAATTTGAGTAAAGTTCAATTAATTTCTATCCTATCTTTGTTGGATATTTTGTTTTAATATTTTGGAACATATTCATAATAGCTTGAGAATTTAGAATCCTATGCATATATCGTTTGGGGTCCTGAAAAAATGTTAATTTATTGATAGATATATTAGATAAACAGAACAAAAAAGTTTATGTTAATGAATGCCAAGAAAAGAGAAAAAAAATATTGAAAATCATAACAGTGTCACAATCCATTAAGATGTGTCACTAAAACCCTAACAAAATCCAATGATGCATTCTTTAATTGAAGATGAGAACTCCAAGGAATCTATGACCACAATGTAAGGACGGTGTGAAATTTCTTGTAGGTGTATGGAAGAAAATGACATTTTTATCACATCAAAATTTAGATGTTTTTGCCATTCCTTAACTGGAAAAAGCAGAAGACTGGACCAGTTTGCAACATTAATATGTCCGAGAATATTTGAACCATAAATATCGGAATTGTAAATGGCCAAAGCGTCCCAAGAACCAGGGTTTGCCACCCAGATCGCTCAAATAGCCAAACCCAAATTGTAACTCAAAGCCTATATTGAATCATGATCCTCGTAATCCCATATTATAACCATAACCCCAAAATTGTAAACTTAACGGATTATGTCTTTATTCGGATGATTTTTAAAAATAATATTTTGATTTGTTGTGATTTCAATTATTTTACAATACAAATAGTAACATATAAGTTTTATTATTTACAACCATTAGCCGGTATGGATTACGGTTCGCTTTAAAACTTTCATCTTAAATATATAACCAATATCAATTTACTATGTGTATATATGGATGTATAACAAACATGATTCCATATAATAGCAAAAAGGGATCCAGATAAGAGACACAAAGCAAACCACAACCCAAAACAGCGAATCAATTGAAGTCTACCGTCATCACACGGCATATCAGAGAAAGTATTGTCCTGTGTATCCGTACTTTTACTGCGTACCAAATCGACCCACAATCCACTTAACAGTGATTTGAACTTCTCCCTTTGTCAGATAACTTTTAGTAGGTTTTTAGCTAATTCTCAGATATCTACAAAAGAAAAATAGGAGTTGCAACCCAACAAGACTACCTGCAAGACACATGCTCAGTGGTCAGTGCTCTCTAAACCTGCCATCTTATGAACTTATTTAAGACCAGACAGTACCAAACCTTGACTCAAAGTTCAGAATCATAGTCCAAAACAGATTGATAAGATTTTTTTTTCCCACAATCTCGCAGGTTTGTATATATCTATTGGCTGGAAAAGTCCCCAATTGTCTCTGCTTCTCTTTAAGGACTTAGTTGAGTTAACAAACCAAACATTTAAGAAATTTACCTCAGATTACAAGCCATGTTCCAAAGAACCCAATATGATGCAATTACAACAGATTTTATGTTTTCAGAAAAAGCAAAAAAATTGCAACAGCAAAATCAAGAGTCAGCCTAAGTCATACTTCAAAATATATGTGATGTTTTCCATTTACCATGCACGAGTCAGGAATTTCTTACCTGAACTCTATCAAGGACCTTATGATGATGAGCAAAAATTATCATTTTTTGAGAACTGAGGCTTGTTTCCGTATTTTCTTGACCATCCAACTCTGCAATGATTGGATGAATTGAAAGCCACTCCCGGAATCCTGACACCTTTGCAATACCAACTTCTTGATCAGAGAGTTTCCTTGAAGTTTTGCTACAGCCAGCATTGTCTGGAAGCAAGCAAAAACAGAAACTTGATGAAAATCATGAAGTGTCGACGATAAAGAAAATTTTAAAACTTAGCAATGGCTTCTTTACATTGTATCTCAATATAACTATTGCGGCCCTAAAAACGCGTCAAACATGTGCTGTGTCTGTTAAGACTTAATAATCAGCAGCTCACTAACATGTGAAGAAAAGGTTATTATCGCCAGGTTAACTGGCTAAGGCAATGTCAAGTATAACCCAACGTAGATCCCGGGAATCTTGGAGATAGCCAGATGACACTGAAACATTGCCATTGCATTACCTTAGTACATCAGAATNAAACCCCAAAATTGTAACCTAAACGGATTATGTCTTTATTCGGATGATTTTTAAAAATAATATTTTGATTTGTTGTGATTTCAATTATTTTACAATACAAATAGTAACATATAAGTTTTATTATTTACAACCATTAGCCGGTATGGATTACGGTTCGCTTTAAAACTTTCATCTTAAATATATAACCAATATCAATTTACTATGTGTATATATGGATGTATAACAAACATGTTCCATATAATAGCAAAAAGGGATCCAGATAAGAGACACAAAGCAAACCACAACCCAAAACAGCGAATCAATTGAAGTCTACCGTCATCGCACGGCATATCAGAGAAAGTATTGTCCTGTGTATCCGTACTTTTACTCCGTACCAAATCGACCCACAATCCACTTAACAGTGATTTGAACTTCTCCCTTTGTCAGATAACTTTTAGTAGGTTTTTAGCTAATTCTCAGATATCTACAAAAGAAAAATAGGAGTTGCAACCCAACAAGACTACCTGCAAGACACATGCTCAGTGGTCAGTGCTCTCTAAACCTGCCATCTTATGAACTTATTTAAGACCAGACAGTACCAAACCTTGACTCAAAGTTCAGAATCATAGTCCAAAACAGATTGATAAGATTTTTTTTTCCCACAATCTCGCAGGTTTGTATATATCTATTGGCTGGAAAAGTCCCCAATTGTCTCTGCTTCTCTTTAAGGACTTAGTTGAGTTAACAAACCAAACATTTAAGAAATTTACCTCAGATTACAAGCCATGTTCCAAAGAACCCAATATGATGCAATTACAACAGATTTTATGTTTTCAGAAAAAGCAAAAAAATTGCAACAGCAAAATCAAGAGTCAGCCTAAGTCATACTTCAAAATATATGTGATGTTTTCCATTTACCATGCACGAGTCAGGAATTTCTTACCTGAACTCTATCAAGGACCTTATGATGATGAGCAAAAATTATCATTTTTTGAGAACTGAGGCTTGTTTCCGTATTTTCTTGACCATCCAACTCTGCAATGATTGGATGAATTGAAAGCCACTCCCGGAATCCTGACACCTTTGCAATACCAACTTCTTGATCAGAGAGTTTCCTTGAAGTTTTGCTACAGCCAGCATTGTCTGGAAGCAAGCAAAAACAGAAACTTGATGAAAATCATGAAGTGTCGACGATAAAGAAAATTTTAAAACTTAGCAATGGCTTCTTTACATTGTATCTCAATATAACTATTGCGGCCCTAAAAACGCGTCAAACATGTGCTGTGTCTGTTAAGACTTAATAATCAGCAGCTCACTAACATGTGAAGAAAAGGTTATTATCGCCAGGTTAACTGGCTAAGGCAATGTCAAGTATAACCCAACGTAGATCCCGGGAATCTTGGAGATAGCCAGATGACACTGAAACATTGCCATTGCATTACCTTAGTACATCAGAATTAAGTGCCACACTAAGATTGCCATAGTTCATTAGAATTACTTCAAAACAGAGCATTAATCACAGGGTTAATACACACAAAATATTCCCAAATTTCAAAGGTTTGGGAACCTTCAAATTGCATCCTTAATATTTAATCACTTTAGGTAGGAAAAGGAATTAACGGTGACCTCCAGCTGTAATTAATGAAAAAATAAAATAAAAATTGACATGTTAAAACTTTCAACTCATAAAGATTGGACAAATAAGCCGAAAATCCTCTAAAGCTGGGGCGGAAAACTAGTAAGCCTTTGAGTCATCCAAATTCACCCACAACAATAGCTGTAACTTATCAAAGATAAATCATCGTATCAGTACAATAGGATTTGGATGATGAGGTCAACATGCAGTACTGCTTAATCAAATATTAATCCAACAGAATTGAGATATCAAGAATCGGAAGGTCACCATAACATTCATTAGAAACATCTGAAGGCGAACCTGTAGCATCATTGTCTGCAGATGCATCTCCTTTCACCCCTCTGACAACAGAAGCCATTGCTGCAACAATATCGGATCTCTTCAAAGCCAAGCTTATAATTTGTCGACGTATGGGTGGTAACTGCACCAGCACATGCTCCTTCAAACGCCTTATCTGTAGTATGCAAACATCCACAATATATTATTACTCATTCCTTCAGTAAGAAAATGGATAAATGAAGACTAGAAAAGACAAAATAATAAAAACTTAAAATCCTAAGGTTAAAAGGTTTAGTTGTTCAACTCATTAAAGGGTGAAGGTAACAACAACTTCCAGAAATCATCCTCAGTTGCCTTCCCCAGATTCAACTTGAACAAATGGTATTAAGAAGAGATTTTATTAATAAATTGTGTCTGTTTTGCCAGTTTATGTTAGGCTTATGTCTAACCAACAAAAACGGAAATTATTGAGCTTTGATTTGAATTTTTGGATAGGACCAACAACCCTTATGACAATTAATAGCAAACCATTTACTGTTGACTTGAAGAAAAACATTAAGTAATCCATGCAGCAGTGAGGAGGACTTTGCTCATATTATGTTCCACTAAAATAGTTAAGATACAACTACCAAGTGCCTACAAATTCCACAACCTCATTAGAGCATAAGTTCTGCAGTCTAAAATACAACATGGTAGATGACTCACCTAACAAGGAAAGGAAGGTAATAAAATCAAAAACAAATCTTTTAAGATCAAGAGAACCCGGAAAAAAAAATTAATGAAACAGAAACCAATCACACAATCTACCCTAAACAACTTGTTTGAAGTCAAGTCACTTGCATTTTAAGTTATAATGATGATGAGACTCCTACAAATTTACTAGACCGTTTGTATTATAGAAGCTAAGTAAGAAAGAAAGTCATCTTACTCAAAACAATGGATTTTTTTCTGGTTTTCAAAAAAAAGTAATTCTGCCGAATTTATTTTTGCTCAAGAGTAAAAGCATGTTTGATGACTATTTTTTCAAAAGTGAAAACTGCATCTTTATCAGTAACACATCTTATGCAAATGCATATATGCAGTACTATACGTGTGAGCCCAAACAAGAAAAAAGAACAAAGCAAATTTTATGCTTATACAAGAATCACTTTTTAATTATTTACTTTTTAAAGTACTTTTATTGTGCAAAACAAACAGTAATTTCTACTTCTTTATTTAAAACCCAGAAGAAAAAAAAAAAGGAAAAAGCAGTCTTTAAACGGCATTCCCAAATGGTGCCATCAGAAGTTACCTTCTTGGTATTAAAAACTCGTCTCTTGGGTTTTTCCAGATAACCAATGAACTTTTGGGTTGTTGGGATTGAAGAAACTTATTTATGGGAATTTTGGTACTTTCCTTAAAATAACTACGAAGTAAAAAGTATAGAAATATAAGAATCCCATGATATTGGAATGATGACAGTTAAAATGAGACAAATGTTAAAATTAACCGACACTATAGAAAACCAGTGTCCAGAAAAATGACATTTTGGATCCCTGTGCAACACTAAACTGACTTACAAGCTTATGTTTATCAAATGGTAATAGAAAATTTATCCAACTTATGATAGAAGAAGGACTGAAAAGAACAAGAAGCAAGCATTATCAGGAAGCAGACAAAGAACAAGAGCACACCATCACAGTTTGCTTAAGTAACACATTTAACTCGTCCAAACGCATCCCCTTGGAGAAATCCTGCAAAGATGAAACGGGATGTGTTATGATAAACTAGAATTTCAAATTGACCAGCTGAAAAGGTTAGTATAGCATGTGACTCTATAATATCTCAGTGGTGTGTGACATCTCCAATGGTCAATGACACAGCAATCTCATTAAGACCCTTAAAGTAATTTACTGAAATGGCCATAAACAGGCTATTCAGAATATTCACAACCACCGATTTACCTGCACAACACTGTTCTCATCAAGGAATTGTTATCACAAGTAATTAGAAGGAAGTGCAAAAGATGCATAGACCATTTTTTTTTTCAATACTGCTACTCAGAAACAGCTCAATGATTACCTGGAACACTTTACTTTGACAACCTCGGATGAACTTGACAGAACAGTAAGTTTTTGCAAATTCATATTTGCTATTTCCCAGCAAACCAGGCCTAGATGAAAGAAGGAAAATCAAGAAATCAAAGGCTATGGACAAAACCATTAAGAGAACCAAATCAACGGGGTAGGATGCAAAAGTGCAAATAGAACTTACCACAACATGTTTATCTGATGAAAAATGTCATATGGTCTATGATCACCTAGGAGAACATGCAAACTAAGATATTAGAATGCTTCAGCACAAATGAAAACAAATAAAGTAACACTGATACAATAAAGTTCCAAGAAAATCAGAGCTATAAGAAAATCAATACAATATGAGTACTCCATCCCAAAATTAAGGACACTTTTTGGAAGTCCAACTTTTATTGAAAACTTATTTTATAAATTTAAATTACAATGAATCTTTGAGTTTGAAAGCTATCCTCCTGACAAATTCATTTTTGCCAACTTCCCTGAAAATTGAGCTTTCAAAATTATCCTCGCAGAGGAAAGCTATGGAAATGAGGCTCACTATTTGTGNAAATTACAATGAATCTTTGAGTTTGAAAGCTATCCTCCTAACAAATTCATTTTTGCCAACTTCCCTGAAAATTTAGCTTTCAAAATTATCCTCGCAGAGGAAAGCTATGGAAATGAGGCTCACTATTTGTGACATCGCAAAATAAAAGAAGGCCCCTAACCATGAGATAGAGGGAATATTTAACAAACAAATTTCATTCCTGTCAATCTGTCAGGGAACACAATCAACATACAAAGATAAAGATAATTATTGCTTCAGAGGTATTTACAACCTTGACAAAGAAGGAGTCCCTGACAATAGAACTATATGCTCGACCTTAGCTGCTACATCAAGGACAGCTTTTATCTGGTGAATGACAAGGGAGAAGTGAGAAGAGACACACAATAAAAGGCTTAAGGTGTCCTGCAAACGGAAGCATTAAAAATACAAAACATTCCTGAAAATACGAATGTTTCAAATTAATGGAGGAAAATAAAGTAGAGGGCTATCGCATTTTTCTTCTCTTTGCTTCTATTCTAAAATACTGCAGGAAGGCAGATGCACAATATGTGCATGTTCCACACCCCCAACATATTTTTCCCTAAAAATTCATTATTTCCACCACTTTGCCAGTTTTCTTTGTTTTGTTCCTTTTTTTCAAGAACATTGTTCGACCAAGTGGCTACATGATTTTTTTTCAGATCACCTATTAGCAAAGTGAAAACATATTAGAAAAGGAGTATTTCATCCAGCCCCTTCCTTAAAATTCCAAGTAGCAAACGAAAAAGGGATGCCACACCGTACACGTAATGCCTGACAATACCCCTTACAGCTGAGATACTACTACACTGGCTCAAACAAGTCTTAATTTTAGGCCCAAAATTTGCCATAAAAGCCTTATCAACCCTAACCAATTCCCTATCCATTGGCCTTTCCTGTATTTGAACCAACATAAATTCAGTAATGATTGCTTTTATTGCAACACCCAAAACAGAATTCACTACCTCTTCAGGTTCTGATCTTTTCTTTGTACAGCGTACATGGTGCGATTCATCCACTATCAAGGTGCCCCATTCCTGTTCCAACATGCTCTTTCGCAAACGATGAAGCATTGTATATGAAATAACCACAACCCTTGGACGTCTTTTCAAATGCACAGGGTTATTTTGATGGCCAAAGACTAAACAGAAAAGAGAGAGAGAGGTTAAGCTCATGTAAGAAAAAGATTGAATCCAAATAATGCACAACACTGAGTAAGCATGAAAGCAATACTTCAATTTAAAATAGTATACATATACCTATAGAGCTGGAATTTTCGTTGGCAGTATCTTTGAGCAAGTACTAACCTGCTTTATAGCAGCAAAACATTTTCCATTTGGAAACAGGTTTATGACCATGTAAAAAAAATAACAAAGGGGCAATTCATTGCTTTAATTTGCCAGAACATAAAGATTCGAAAAAACTAACAAAGAAACTATGCTGCATTCATACTTGCAGGGCCATTGTGTCAAATATTATTTGATGAATACAGTATCTTATATAAGGTACAAACCATTTAGTTAGTTACCACACACATTGAACAAGGAAAAAAGATTTACCCTGTCCATGTGTTACCTGTTCAAGAAAGAATGATCAAATCATGGTTACTTATAACTTGTCTCATTTCCTAATGAGGTTTGCTTGCAACATCTTAAATTGACAACCCAACATTTCTTATTTTTAAAAAAAAATACTGCAAGTATTAGTTAAAGGGGTGAGGATAACTTGAGAGACTGCATGAACAGCATTAGAAAGATGTCTGGTTTCTGAAATAAATGACAATTGACAATTAGTCATGAAGCATAAAAAATTGAACTTCTTTTATTTTCTCAGCAGTCAAATTATGCACTGCAAATGTCTTCTTTTCTCAATGCTCTACAATGCCAACTTCCTCTCTCACCCCCTCTGAGGGGGGTTGAATTGAAGAAAGAACAAATATAGACAATTCTTACTTCTCACTCACCATCTACATTTAGAAGTTTAATAGCTGTTGAGAGTATTATTATTATATTGTTATAATTTAAAATGGTTGCAATAAGTATACCTCTCTATGGGTATACTAGTTTTTGTGTTTTATTAGATAACTATAAATACAAGTTGAGAGTGAGAGGTAGGGACGTAGGGTATGTGTTTTTGACTACTCTTTGCCTCTCACATAATTGATTTCTTTTCATTCTCTAAACTTAAACAATAGCTAATCAAGAAGATTGCTTCCTAATAATTCATTAAAAAAAAAGGCGGTGCATTAAGCCCCCCCCCCCTACTGAGGGGTATGGGGAGGCTTTATAATAATTCATAAATTTCGAGGAAAAAAAGTTATTGGGGCTGTACCACATAGTAATGAATTCTTAGTACTTTCAACATAGTATAACAACACTACGACATAAGAAAATAACATAAAATTAGGCAAACCAACGCTCCAATTCTTGTGCACATGAAAACCGCAAAATAGCTGGGTAGACAAGTATAGAAAAGAACATAAAATTAGTACCGAGATGAATATCAGCTGGCAAACAAAAAGGAAACCAACGCTCCAATTCTTCTGCCCATGAAAACCGCAAAATAGCTGGGCAGACGACAAGTATAGAACCTTCACTCTTGAAACAGCCTGCAATTGCGATAGCCTGAAAACAAACCCCAAGTGCGCTAACAGCAGGTATTAGAACATAATAAACATGGTGCATGCAGACGAATTTACTTGTGATGAGAAGTAGCTTGTAATAAAATTTCAGTTCCCATTGTATAAAACATAAAGGATTTTATTCAACCCCCAGCGTACTGTAATCTTGATTCTAACGATTTTGCAATTATATACAAGGCAATATTACAAAGCAACATCATTTAAATACACATCAACATTGTGCATGCACTCAAAAGTAAAAGGAGGTGGCACCTCCAACACTACCCAGATTTCAATTGCTAGATACAATTTCTTTTGATATTTTAATAGTTACCTGGAGTGTCTTTCCAAGTCCCATTTCGTCTGCAATGAGACACCGGCCACCTCTTCGTAAGCCAAACCGAACACCTTCGAGTTGAAAAGGTAGCAGCGCATCTAGTAGAGTTTGCGGAAGCTTCCCAATCAATTCATCAACCTTCTCATCAGACAAATGTTCTGGCCTGCATGGTATCCATCGTCCTGCTGTGAAGGAATGTGAAAGTCTCTCAACAACATTTAATGTTCCCCAAGGGATCTCTTCATATTCAATGCCCTTGTAATTTTTCAAACACCTGAGAACCGTGTCGTAATCCCTCAGTTTATAAACACAAGCCTTCCCACCACCATGGTTTTGAGTATAATGAGATGGCACAACCTATTTAAAATTTGAGAATTATAATCAAGTAAAATGACCACAAGCCCATAAAAGTTGGTTTTCACACATCTATTCACTACCAAATTAGAGGAAAGCACAATCTAACCCTTATCAAGTGAACTAGTTTCAATCCAGCAACAAACCAATACATCCAAAATCCATGGATATGGAGCCTCTCAATCTCTATTATTGTCAATTTCGATCAAGTTTAATCACTAAATTCACTGGTTGCAACTACTTGTTCTGTGGGTTCCACTGAAACCTAGTGGAGCCAGTAAATTCAAAAATGAATGACTGAACTCAATCAAAATTGAAAAAAATGAAATTGGGAAAATCCAAACCCAGAACCCATAATTTGGAAGAGCAATGCTAGGGATCCCAAATCAGTAGGACCCTTCCATCAATGGGTCACATTAACTTTTTTCAATGGAACCCACTCATCCGAGGGTTCCTATTCATTTGTGATCCCAAATTTGGGATACATGGTATTTCCCTAATTGGAATGTGAACGCAACATAGTCTCGATCACCACGCTTATTTCAATAATGATTATGCGAACCATTAAAAGCCCAGAGCACACAAAATACTACACGCGGTAGCATAAATCCATCGTAAAAAGATAGGTCGTTATAATAAGTTTAATTTCTTACATTTGACAGGCAACCCCTAAGTTTCTCCAAACAAGACGCTTCACCGGGACAGGGGAAACCCAGAACAGCCTCCGGCGTAACGGAGAACGAATCGGGGGAACAAATTTCGAGGCGGACCCGGAACTTTTCGGGCAAAATAGTCGGCTGAAGTGTCGGAGGAGGATTAATCGAACAAGTGTTTACGGGTTTTGAGGAAATGGGAGTTGTATGTCCGGGAGAGACTTTTCGGCACTTGAAGAGCTTCCAGGGGTTTGGGTGTTGGTTGGTGAGGATCGAAGTGGACTCTGAGAGGGCTTTGCGCTTGGCTAGGGCTGCGAGACGGTTGGCTTCGGCTCTTTTTCGTTGTTCTTCTGCGATCTCTTCTTCCATGTGGAGTGGGTTCGGGTGTGCCCGTCAGAGTGGTTAGGGAGAGAGAGAGCATTTGCTGATTTAAACTGAAGGTGGAGTGGGCGGGCAAAGATGCACGAGGGAAATACAGTTTGATAGCCGACTTCTATTAATTTTATTTTTATGATTCATATTTAAATTCGTTGATAATCTAAAATTCAGTTCCATCTAAATAACTTAATTTAACTCAAATTTAGCAAATAACATTTAGATTTTCAATTAAATTTAGAAAATTTTAGAAGTCAGTCCCCTTATATGCACTTGTTTTGACTTAATTCTATTAAAGAAACTTATTTGTTATGAAGTCCGTTTTTTATTAATTTTATCATATTATCCCTTCCATTTAGAAGTGAAGTAAAATTAAAAATTAAAAACTCTTAAATTTTAGGAGTTTAATTAACATTAAAAAAATTTATCTCTCATATCTATCTATATTTATATATAGGTTAAGAATATATCTCTCATATATATATATACGTACTAGTGATTGTTCGTGTCTTAAGGCACTAGTATAACACAACAAATCAAGGGATAGTTTTGTAATATAAATATTCTACAACAATAACTTTTTTTTATTTTCTAAAATCACACAATTTTAAATAAATTAAGTTCCTTTACTTTCTTTTTTCTAATGTTTCATCTTAATCCAATCAAACCAAATTCAACTCAACAGTGATCCAATCAATTAGAAAAATTCTTATTCTTCATGGCTAACCATGTCTCATAATACAATTTTTCAATAAAAGTACCAACCTTTATATTTATTTTGAGTTTCACTAATTGTAACATTAATCATAAAGAGTTCAATTCAAAAAATATAAACATAGATCATGACTCAAAACACAAATGAAAAAACTAAAATAGGATAATATCGAATCAAGGAAACCCTAACTTAACCCAATCAAATTGATATAAAATATTTCACCCGCAAATAATGAAACAACTCACAGATCGAATAATGTGGATCATCATACCACCAGAAAATCCACACATAATGAAACAAACAAATCAGAATCTAAATCTAATTGAAAATGAAGAAAAACCTTAGAACATCTCACAATTATCAAATACATCAAATAATCAATCAAAAATCATATTAGGCACCTATGAATTCGTTTTCGTATTATTTCCTATCACTTTTCTACTTATAACCTCATTGTGGTAGTGAAATCAAATAAAAACTCATATATTTGCAAAGGAGAAAGGCCACATTATGGACCATTACACCATACAATGAAATACAACTTCAATTAAGGAAATTTAGATTTGCATAACTAAATTTAGAAAGATCCTTTTTCACAACTTATTGTGAACAACAATGCAATTGAAATGCATCGATAATGTAGTAAAAGAGAGCATATACAATTGATTTCTATTTCGTCAAATAACATTAAAATCCTATTAGTTTATACCACCGACTAACTCCCCAATTTTTTTACCGGTTTTTGAATATCATCCAATTAACTCACCTCAAAATTCATAAAAAATAAAACTAAACTTTGTTATTCTAGAACAAAACAATGTACGCACTGAAATTCATCAATTTGATACACAACACTATCAAATCACAAGCTAAATTCAACAATTCAATTCCAAAAACAATACCGAATTAGAGCATTCAGGTTCCAAATCTCAATGTTACCATCAACCAATCCACCAGCAATAAGACCCAGAGAGAACTCCTCTAAATTTGTCAGATATTTCCCCCAAGACAATTGATTGAAATTCTCAGAGCTGGGCTCCGAACCAGCCAAAGGCAGCTAATGCTCAACGGAGGTGAAATCAAGCTTGAAGATGTCAAGATTCACCGACGAACTGAAGTGCACGTCCACCACCCCTGCCATTATCCCCGCAACGATGAAGGGCGCATCCGTGGCAAACGCCACCAACGCCGATTTATTCACCTCCTTTATACACATCAAATGGATCACCGCCATGTTTTATACATGCAAAGATGTCAAGATTTGCGCTAACCAAAACTATACCATCAGTGACAAACCTAAAATCCTACAATGTGAAAATTTTAATCAAAAACCAGTAAAAAGAATCTAATGAATGCCACAAAATAAATTGCCAAAATCAAACAGAACCTATCAAAGAGGAACATAAATTAAATCAATTATACCCACAAAAATTCATATCAAACAAAAGACTATACAATATTTGTCATAGGCATTTCAACAAATACTTCACGTGCATTACGATTAAAAACAAATCAATACCAAATATCATGCGTCACTGGCTGCCGAATGAGAGAGGGGAAAGAAAGACAGAGAGAAATAAGAAAGAGAATGAGACAGTAAGAAGGAGATACTTGACAGTGTTGCTGGTAGGTGTGGGTTTTATAGGAGTAGAAAGAGGTGGAGAGATAGCAGAAGATGGGAAACATACCTGGTGGGGTGGGTGTTGGTTGTTTGCAAGTTGAGGGCAGATGAGGAAGGAGGGCTAAGGCGATGGTTGGTAGAAGGGTGGTACTCTAGTGAATGGCTGGTGGAGTTACTGGTGATCGCTGAGTGTCGACAACTGGGATTATCTCTGGGATAATAAAGATGATGAGAGAAGCGTGAGAGAGAGAGAGAGAGAGAGAGAGACGTATATGAGATAGTAGTATAGAGTCTTACGATGAGAGACTTCTTTATGGGCAGGAAAAGAAATTCAGGACTAACTGTAGACCATTATATTAAAATTTTTGAAATAATCTGAACCGTCTTTTATGTTGGGATTACGTTGTCCGTTGTCCGTATTTATGTTTTGTCTTAAAACGATCTGAACCTCTTTTTGTATCTGGATTCAAACTTAGCTTTACTTTATTATATAGATATAGTAACATTAAAAATAAAAAGTAATATTCAAATTAAAAAAAAATTATCATTTAAACACAAAAAATAATATCATTTAAATTAAAAAAAATAGTAACATTCAATATTGATATTTAAAAAAAATAACAATAGTAACACATTCAACAAAAATCTATATCTATATCTATACTATTTACTTCTAAAAGGCTACTAAGCCAAAAAACTTTTAATTACCATATTTGTCCTCTAACATTTCTTAAATGTCTAAATTATCATTCACATGAATAAATGTATAGCACTAATTTGTCCATTGTAGTGCTCATTTATTTCTTTCAAAGGTGTGGTGACTCTCCGTCTCTCCCCACATTTTCTCACCAACTTCCAATAAATTTTTAGAATAATGAATTACCATTGTGAGAATTTAATTTAATTGCTACTCCTCTTGAGTTAATGAGAAAGAAAGAGTTAAGTATTAAAGACTTCAAAGAATCATTTTTCCTTTCACTCAATACACCCTTTACTTTGCCACTTCCAACCGGTTGGATTTAGATTTTGGTGGCTCTTCTATTTCCCATTTTTCATTTCTCATTCAATACCAATAAATGTTTTAAAACTTGTACTATTTGGTAGTCCTTCGCTCTTCCACGTAGCTTATTATTCATTCTAATGAAAGTGCATGCTATGAGATGCTTTGAGATAGTATTACCACTTCCAGACTAGCACATAAAAATTGATGCCTGCTACACAACACGGGAATACAAANAGTATTTCCACTTCCAGACTAGCACATAAAAATTGATGCCTGCTACACAACACGGGAATACAAAACAAGCATTATTTCAAGCCCAAATAGATAGAATAAGAGGAAAATATCAACAACCCTTGCCTCGCAGTATTCAACTGTGCGACATAGATGAAATGACAATAATTGAGATTATGGAACGGACAAAATGACAACGTGTAATTTATCAATTTAATTTCTTCATTCTACATACTAAGAGTTTGCATTATGTTGGATGAGTTCCTTGTATCATTTTTCTGTAGCTTTGGTGGTGTAATGCTTGTGAAAAAGCTTGTGGGGATCATTTTGTTTAAAGCTCTACCTTGTTTAACATATGTTTTTGCTCGCATGATAACTTGAAAATGAAATTTGAAAGTAAAATACAAAAAAAAAAAAACCATAACATTGGTGTTTAGACAAACACATCACTGTTGAGGCTACTCTAGAGTTCATATGTTATTGTTGAGGCCACTCTAGAGTTCATAGGTATATAACTGAGAAATTAGAAGGAGTTGTGCATATACAAAATTTGTAGCAAAAGAAATCCAAATTCAAAGCCATGAAGACGATTCTCGTTAAAAAAAAGCAATTAAAAAGCACGTATATGGTTTGCATCCATCTTCTAAATGTGGCCGATGGGAGACAATGTTGGTAAATAATTTCCATAGATTCGTAGAAGTAACAAACTATTCTAAATGTGCTTAGATATAAAAAGAGTTACAATTGCTTCTCTATTTAGAAGTGTAAGAGGATAAATGTGGTAGCTAGGATTCCCATTATCCGAATATATTTATTTATACTTATGAAAGTGTGTATGATTCTCTTCCTTGTAAAATAACAAGAGGAAGAACAATCTTCTAGAAGAGTTGGCCAGGTAAGTGTAGAGTGAGTTTTCTTGTTTGTTTAGGGAAAGCGTTTAGAAAATGTGTAAAAATATTCTGTTAAACAAAAGAAACAATTAAAGTATTTAATGTAGTGGAGGTTTGCCTGATTTTTAAGTATTATCATGCATGATTATGTCGTAAATTATGTTAGAATAATTATTTCTATCAATGGTCTACGTGCAATGCACGTGGACATTAACTAGTAATAACAAGTACAACAAAAATAATAATATGCTTAACAAAAACAGTAACATGTTCAAAAAAAAAAAAATANCAAGTACAACAAAAATAATAATATGCTTAACAAAAACAGTAACATGCTCAAAAAAAAAATAACAATATGAAATATTAAACAAAATTAAAAATAAAAATAGTAGCATTCAATCCAATAACTAAATAAATAAGCTTCCAATTCTTCAACATTCAAAAAAATAACACTGAAAAAGTAATAACATATTTAATAAAAAATAGTAATATGGTCAACAAAAAACATAATAACATGAAACATTGAAAAAATTTGGGGATTATTTATCAAAAAATTAAAAATAAAATTGGGAATCAAACTAATAACATATTGGGCAAATTTTTCAACCTTTTTTTTCTACAAACCAACAACATAGAAGTTTATCATGACCAAAATACAGTAGAAGATATGATAGTTGTTAATGCTGTTCCAAACCCTACTAATTTTGCTGCTATGGAGGAAGAAATGATATTTAAGGAGAAAAATTTATTATGTTAGAGTGATGATATTCTTCTAACGAGNCATTGGGCAAATTTTTCAACCTTTTTTTCTACAAACCAACAACATAGAAGTTTATCATGACCAAAATACAGTAGAAGATATGATAGTTGTTAATGATGTTCCAAACCCTACTGATTTTGCTGCTATGGAGGAAGAAATGATATTTAAGGAGAAAAATTTATTATGTTAGAGTGATGATATTCTTCTAACGAGAGAGATAAAGAGAGAATAAAAATTTTCTCTGTTCATTTTAATTTAAAATTATAAAATTTAAAAATTAAAAAAATTAAATTACTATTCAAAATATAAATTAAATGTTGCACGATCTATACTCAAAATTTAATATTGTCATACAACAAAAAAATTTGCCAAAAAAGGCCGTGAAANAGAGAATAAAAATTTTCTCTGTTCATTTTAATTTAAAATTATAAAATTTTAAAAATAAAAAAATTAAATTACTATTCAAAATATAAATTAAATGTTGCACGATCTATACTCAAAATTTAATATTGTCATACAACAAAAAAATTTGCCAAAAAAGGCCGTGAAAATTTGATTTTGAGCTACATTGCTACCTTTTCATATAACTGAGGGTAGGTTGCCCTCCCCTCGAGCTTAAGGTTTTTTTATCTTCTAATTGTATATAGCACTTTCCTACGTAATGAAATCTTTTGTCAGTTATTCTAAAAAATATAACTGAGGGTACAACGAAATAAATTTATAATTTTAGAGTATAAATTAAAATTTTAAGAATCTTTTAACATGAAAAAGTGTCGTTTACCCATAGTAGGGACAACAATTTCAAACAAGAATCGTGTTTAATACATACGATTTTAAGTTGTACTTGTTTAACTTCTTAAGGGAAAAAAACATATTCATGAAACATACTTTCCAAACTGTTAATGATTTTTAAAAATATGACCTAGCTGGTTTTGAAAAATAAACTTGTATCACTTTAATCTCTGAAGTTTTTAATTTACATTTAACTACTTTAAACGACATTTCATCTATTTTGCTTGTTTCTTTGTTCTATCATTAGAGAGACTCCAACTTTTTTTTGCAATCTATGCGNGTTTAAAAAATACGACCTAGCTGGTTTTGAAAAATAAACTTGTATCACTTTAATCTCTAAAGTTTTTAATTTACATTTAACTACTTTAAACGACATTTCATCTATTTTGCTTGTTTCTTTGTTCTATCATTAGAGAGACTCCAACTTTTTTTTGCAATCTATGCGATTCATCTTGTAAGCCAGAGTCGTATATTTATTAATTTATAAATTTGTTATTTTTAATATAGTATTTTTTTGGAGGAAAGGCACCAAAAAATACCCAATATACCTTTAATATTTTGTTGATACTTTTCTTAACCATTTGGTAAAGATAAGAAGTGAGAAACTTGGAAGAAGAATCAAATAGAATATACAACTTAATTNAAAAAATTATTTTTAATATAGTATTTTTTTGGAGGAAAGGCACCAAAAAATACCCAATATACCTTTAATATTTTGTTGATACTTTTCTTAACCATTTGGTAAAGATAAGAAGTGAGAAACTTGGAAGAAGAATCAAATAGAATATACAACTTAATTGGAATAGTGATTCTCCATTAAATTGCATCAAATGTGCCAAATTTTAAATTCTAATTAACATCCTCCTTGGGTTTTAAATGTAGTTTGTTATACTAAACAACAAAATATAGTGGTAATGTAAAGTCAAGGGTATTGATCGATTTGTGGCATATTGGTTTCACTCATTTTAGGTTCAAAATAAGTATTAATCAATTAAAACATGACTTATTTGATTAATCGTATCAAATAATTTGGAAGGAACCTAACATGTTTCTTAATCATGTTGGTTACTATTCGACACATTATTCGTGAATTAAAAATACGTGAGTTGAACCCCAAATTTATACACTTTTTTACTGGCTAGTTCGAACATTTCATCTGACCGATCTGTATTGAATGTACTCAACGGTTCCGAAATGAGACCTCTCTTTTAACCAAACTCACCATCTACATCCTCACAAACTAAAATCCACTTGATACAGGTGTTAGAATGTTCAATTATAAAGCAACCGAAACTCAATAATTTTGTGTTGGGTTCGTCCCAAATATCGTCACCCGGTTTTCATTATGCAATTTGCTCACAACTATGTGGCAATATGGCATTTAGAATCGATTCGTTGCCAACATGACATGACCATGTACTAATGTCCCCTCCACTTGAATGGAATATACAACAATGGGAAAAACATACCACAAAACCAAAAAAGTGTCCATCCACCTTCCCTATACTCTTCAGTTTTGCCACCCAAAAAAGGTCTTTGAAAGAAGAAAAGATGGCTTACAACAAAGGAGTTCATAGCATAAAGAAACGGAATCTAATTATGGCACCAAAAAAAAACTTTTTAATACCATATCTCCACTTTTTTGTCCAATAAAAACGTGACGTGTAAATTTTTTTTTTTTTAATTACTTCATCGTTTTTCAATCAATGGTAACAAATTATCAAAATCAAAGGCTTGTATCATTTCCAGTATGATAGCCACAACGGTATAGTAGCCTTATCCTAAAGACAAACTCAGACAGGAGGTAAACAACTTGAAAATGCTGGAGAGATAGGGATAGAAGAGGAAATGCTTTGCTTCCAAAATAGCACTTCCATGAAAACAAGCCAGTCAAGGCATATTACACCTTGCTTGCCCCATTCCACTGTTCATGAGCTAAAGTCAATACAAGCCCTGCAAGAGACTTCTCTTCTAGGCTTCTTATGCACACAAGCAGCCTATGCTATTGATGTTCTTTGCAATTGAACATTTTCTCTTGAAAAACATCAGAAGAGTTTGGACAACATTGACAGCAGTTCAATCGAAGAATGGAGAGTTTGATCAAACAAACAAGGTACCTACAACCTCCAAATGAAATAAAGTTAGTCTTGTGACACCACTAAAGAACTCTTTTGCTTCAAAAAGTTGAAAAAAAATATTTATTCCTATTCTTAGATACCATATTCCTAATGAATTATTATACGAACCATGAAATAGGAAAAATAAAGCAAAAAATTCAGAACAGATAGTATAGTGTTAATTCGGCTTAATGTTCTTCATTGAGATATTTCACAACAAACCTTATGATAAAAAGAAATGTTTGTCATCTCCGTTCATTGTTACCCTTGCTAAAATGTACTAACTGATTGCCAGGGTGAGATTTTCGGGGGCAGGACGAGATAGCAAGGAAGAGAGCAACAGAACCAAAGAATCCTTTGAAGGAGGTACTCCCACATTCTGAACAGTTCTTTTGCAGCTTTTATAGTTTCTTCTCATTCCTTAGAACAATTGTTTGCTTATTTGTAGATAAAAAGTCACATAAGTGGTTCCAGAGGCAGTTATCTAGGCGAATGAGTCACGATTATGACTCTGGTGATAGTGAAATTGCAACAGCAATTGGAGCAGCTGCTTTTGCCATACATGCACTGGAAGAAGCCAGGTTACAGCATCAGAGAAATGTGAGAGAGGGCTTTGACACCTCCATGAGCAGGGCGAAGACAAGANTTGGTGATAGTGAAATTGCAACTGCAATTGGAGCAGCTGCTTTTGCCATACATGCACTGGAAGAAGCCAGGTTACATCATCAGAGAAATGTGAGAGAGGGCTTTGACACCTCCATGAGCAGGGCGAAGACAAGAAAAGAAGAGCAGTCTAGGCCACCAGATGCTGGGAGAGTATCCAGGCGATTGTCTGGCAAAGAAACTAGAGAACCAGGTAATTATCAACTACACATGTAAGGTTCTTATAGCACATCTGTAAAGCCGTAAAATGGGCAGTAATATGGTGGTATTATTAGTCGAAACCTCCACAAGAAAGCTGCCTGCACCTCTTCTGAGAGGTCCAACAAGGTCCAAAAGCATAGAAACCAAAGCAGATGCTTGGAAGGAAGCTAAGATGGCAAAGATTCAAACAAGGTACCCATTTTTCTTTGAGCATTTTAGTTTGCTGATCACATATTTATAATGATATAAGGTGGATGTATGCTTTTCCATTTTAACAAAACATTCACAAATTTCAGATACGAGAAAATGAATTCAGGAATGCGTGCGTGGGAAAATGAGAAAAAAAAGATAGCACAATATGAAATGGAAAGGAAAAAGGTTTTGCTTCTTTATTCTTAGTCCTCTATGTGGATGCCACGGTTGAGAACTGATCACAAAGTTGTTGATGCTGCAGAGTGAACTGGAGCAGAGAGGGGCTAAGAACTCGAAACATTACCAAAATAAGCTAGCAAGGATTGTTCGTATTGCTGAAGAAGCAAGAGCACAAGTTGAAGAGAGAAGAAAGCAGGAAGAATCTGAGGTGAAAGAGCGAGCAAAAAGCATTCGATCAACTGGAAAGTTTCCCCATAGTTGTTTCTGCTGCTGAATCTCACAAAAAACTACAAAACTCTTTGAAAGCCAAATAACACCTGAAGTTGTCAAACCTTCCCTACAAGAACCTAAATAATTGGGGAAAGAAAATTGTATCATGTGTCAAAGTAGTGTATATATTTCAAATGGGAATTGAATAGTAGAAATGTAAGTATCAACATGGATAAGTACAACCTAACAAACTAATGCTTGTTGCTATGTTTAACTGCCCACATCCTATTTGCACTAGATAGTCTAGATTACAGGCTTACATACTGGTAAACAACCCCCCCCCCCCCCCAAAAAAAAAAAAAAATTCATTCTTGTCTCTTCTGGAAATTGAAAACCCGCAACTTGAAGCATGAACTAGTGGTAATGGCAGGGTAGCCAAATATAAGAGGCCCAGAGTTACAATCCTTTTTGGTTATCCCTTTAGTGCACATGGGAGAAATTGCTACAAATCTGTGAGACCATGATGGTAATCTAACACATTGGGCAGACACAGAAGAAATAGAACAGGTATCTGCAACTGCCAAGAGGTTGTTTTCCCTTCAGTTGGAATAGCAAGTTGCAAACAATCAGTCAAATTTATCCCTAAATCCTCAAAAGAAAAAAATATAGGCTACGAGCTCCAGTCAACGACCTTTTAGCAGATATGATCAATTTCACAGTTCCGTTGTGTATGAGATTTTTGCCTACATGAAAGTGCCAAGTTGTCACCAAAATACTCTCACTAATCATAGTCTTCCCTATCAAACAACAATGCCACCATGCACTATCTACATCTTAGAGAGTATCACCATCACCATTATTCTAACAATGAAATCCACCAATTCTACAAAACTTCTCATATTAATTTCATATGAGATTTTTTAATGGATAATGCGAAGTTCAACTTTGTCCCTTTAATAGAATACATATCCAAATAAGATGTGATCCACTAAATGTCTCCAATAAACGTCAACTATCGCAATTTCTAATCCGTTAAACAAAGAACTAATAACACCTAAACATCTGCTTTGCTTCAGGCCTGCAGGGCTCCTAATAACAACTAAACCGAAGTTTCCTTTAATTCTAATTCATAGGTGCACGCAATCAAATGACAATTAGAAGTTAGAGTTGTCATTACTATGTCTTTCTGTAAGTGACTATCAAGTATCAAAAATTGTCCATACAAACCGATAGAGTCATCTTATGATTCATTTACAGATACATTTCTCATGGCCTCAACTTGAGACCCTTTTTTTCACAGTTATAAAAAACTGCATATCTGTTAACCCTGTATTAGCTGCTTGAGTTTGTCCTATTGATCTTGTGTCAATACGAACTTTTACACATTACTAATATTTTTAAAAGGGTGTTTTAGTATCAAACCAAATAAATTATATGCAAATTGTAAACTTCGTTGAGAAAAACAAGGGAAAGAAATCCACTTCAGCCATCAACAGTTAGGTGCCCACCTGACCTGGCACCATGAGATCAGATCTAAGCACCTGCTGTTGGAAGGTCTGCTCTAAGGAGTGTTTCAGAATTGAGATCGAACAAATAAGAGCCCAGCTGCAACATAATGTTTCTACTGGCCCCAATTGTCTGCATAACTACCCGGGTTGATGGTATTAGCAGAGGGACATAAGACATGATCAAGAGTTTAAATCATTTCATATAGGAAACAACTTCACAGTCTCTCCGAATCATCGTTTTCATGATGGGATGTAATGTAAGCTAGTTGCTGTCCAGTCTCATGAAATCCAAGGCAGCATTGTTAAATGAGGAGGGCCTCTTGTTTCTAGCCAAGCAGGCCTATGAGGCTGTGACTTATCAAAATTAGGCTGTGACATATCAAAAATTTCAGCCATTAATCTTGAGGTGCCCACTTTGACTTGGCACCATGAGACCATATCTAAGCACCAACCCGACCGAACTAAATTATGTTAGCTGTTCAAAGATCTCATCTCAAGAGTATGTCAGAATCAAGATGGAACAATGTGACCCCAGTGGCGACAGAATGTTTTTAACTGCCCCATTTGTCTGCAGTACTCTCTGGATAGAAGGTATGATCAGAGATACTTAGGCATACTCAAGACTTTGAATCATTTTCATATAGNTCCCAGTGGCGACAGAATGTTCTTAACTGCCCCATTTGTCTGCAGTACTCTCTGGATTGAAGGTATGATCAGAGATACTTAGGCATACTCAAGACTTTGAATCATTTTCATATAGGAACAACTTCACAGTCTCTCCAAATCATTGTTTTCAAGATGGGGTGTAAACTAGTTGCTGTCCAGCCTGATGAAAAACGACACAACACAACANAGGCATACTCAAGACTTTGAATCATTTTCATATAGGAACAACTTCACAGTCTCTCCAAATCATTGTTTTCAAGATGGGGTGTAAACTAGTTGCTGTCCAGCCTGATGAAAGACGACACAACACAACACGATTGATTGAGGAAATTTTTTTTGGGCCCGTTATACAGCCCAGTGCGTAGGACATATAAACCCTGNAACGACACAACACAACATGATTGATTGAGGAGGGCCCTCCTCTTGTTTCTAGCCAAGCAGGCCTTTAAACCCGTAACTATAGAATTGTAGCAGCCATTCAGCAGTTCCATTTCCATATGCATATGGCGACCCTGTTTTGTATGTAATGGAAAGCGAAAATTGAATTGGATGGTTCAGTCATATCCTCAAACAGATTATCTGCGGTGCCAGGGATGCTGCTTGGTTGCAAGAAACTTATTTGAGAAACCAACTTCTATAGTGAAGACCTCAATCTTGAAAATCAGCTTGAAAGAGTTTATTATATTTTACCTGTGTGGGATTATAATATTCCATCGTACTCCTACAGTTTAAATGAATCCATGGACAAGGCTCATCACTGCTTCATACATTCACTGGAAATGTTAAATCCATACACTTGTCCCTTATGATTTTTATTGTAACAACACANTATATTATTGATTTATTCTTCGATTGTGTGTGTTTGTTAGTTGATTTAAATCGTGTTAAATCCCAACACTTCTATAGTGAAGACCTCAATCTTGAAAATCAGCTTGAAAGAGTTTATTATATTTCACCTAGGTGGGATTATAATATTCCATCGTACTCCTACAGTTTAAATGAATCCATGGACAAGGCTCATCACTGCTTCATACATTCACTTATAATCGATTATATATATAGCAAAATTGGATAGACGACACTGGAAATGTTAAATCCATACACTTGTCCCTTATGATTTTTATTGTAACAACACAATCTTAGAATGTTGTGGCCATTGATTAATAATTTTCTCCTCCAACTGATCTACAAAATGTTGCCAACTCAAGCTTGTTCATTGTCATATCTGAAAATTTGTTGTTGAGCCTAGAAAATAAGTGCACCACCAACAACTTTGTCGCATACCCAACACACATATGGCTAAGGCGGAGTCTGAGGGGCAACTAATAAACAAACTTACTCATACTGTAGAGAGGCTGATTGCTAAGACTTAAATCAACGACGTATTGCTAGAGCAGATGAGTAAGGGCGTCAAACGTGTCGTGTTTGTAGGACTCGCCTGTTATTTGTGTAGTGTAATTGTTATTCGTGTTCGTGTCAAGACTCACGAAAAAAAATTTATATAGTGTGTTATGAGCATTAAATGTTAGTTTAAACTATTTATTATGCATACTTAATAATCGTGTCAATTTTATAATCATTTGAGTTCGTGTTTAGTTCATATCAACGAGTCAAAGTTGACATCTTTATGTGTGAGAGACTCGCACCATGTGTGTTTATTGGGTTTGTACAAAATATTTCTTGAAAATTAGGTTTATTCTATGCTGAGCAAACATAAAAATTGGATAGTCATTATTTTTGTAGTCATCATATATTCACATGTCAAGCTAAGTAAAAGATGACAAATAATTTTCATCTGTTTGCTTGTAAGGATTCAAATGCCTTGTTTTATAACTTATTTGGATTAGAAATAATGAACAAACACACAATACAAGAAACTAATAATAGATGATTCTTTCATTAATTCAATTGAAGTGACTTCAGTTAGAAAGACTGAATAAATAGTTTTGATTATAACAGTAACTACTTCCTAAAAATTATTCTAAAACTACAACTATAAATATCTAGATCGTGATTCTTGTAGGGAGTTTGAATATATCATTCACCTCCTCCATTATATGTTCTTTTATAGCCATTGTCTTCAACGATTCTGTTTTTATCAACTTCTTTTTTTAAATATTACTGTGGTTGATCATCTCCAGCACTTTCTTTTAAATTCTTTCACGTGACACTTTTTAAATGTCATGTGACGTCAAGTGTTCATAAACTGAATATTCCTGAAATATGATATTTTATTTTAAACAGAAAGATAATTTTTTTAGGGTACATATAACTCACACCTCACATTTTAAAAATAACACCGACCTCCCTTGACATTTATAATTTATAACAGTCACATCCTCTCGAAGTAATAGACAATTTTTCAAAAATGATATCATCAATAATAATTTTTAAAATGCCAAAAATACCCTCTAAAATGAAGTTTAAAAATTTAAATATATGTTTTTCTTACACTAGAAATTTATCCCTCATTTATTTCAACACTTAAATTTTAATTTCCTCATTGTACTTATACCTACTTATCCAAAAAGGTTTATACTCGTAATTCAAACTCACCAATTCTTATAATAATTATTATTTAAAAAATAATTAAATTACTCGATATAATAGATTTGTATTAACTAAACTTTCCTTAACACATATTAAAATCAAATATAATCTACTATTTCCAAATTGACACCACTAATTAAGCAATTAATTATCTAATTTTTTTTCAATTAAGATACCATCATCTAAGGTAATTTTGTTTCTTAATTAAGACACCATGAATTCAGCCAATCATCTAGCACCATCACCCACCCACCATGGGCTTCCAGACCCGCTACCATCCACCAACGTCCTCAACTACCGCCTTTTAGAGAGAGAGAAAAAAAAAATATGAAGACTGTGAAGGAAATCACCGCCTCCACCATCTGAAAGCCACCACCTCCACCATCAGTTCCACCATCCAAAACCCATCAGCTCTACCACACAAAACCCATCATTAACACCACAA